TCTAGGCTCAGGCCCAAGGATATATCTACAAACCAAAATGGAATCAAGTCATTCCTTCCCAGAACAATCACAACTTTTTTCTGTAGCTTTTGTTTCTGGTTGCCCTGCATTCTAGAATATAGTCTGGATATCTATCTCTTCTACCTTCCACATAGCTTTCCATATACAGGGAGAACCTTGTTACTTCTGGATCCCCACAGAACTTCTCACTAGAAAGGTTCAAAGTTTAGCACACAAATTAGTGTAAAACTTACATGCATTGTACCCAGAGGAAAAACCCATCTAGTTTTTTGGTTTTTTTTTTTTTCCTGAATTCTCTTCAGATATTTCTGGTTATTTTCCTAAATCAATTCTATCATTTTCAGGCATAAATTAGCAAAGAGACACTATGGAGAGAACTCACCACAAAGTGCAGGTAAGGCAAATGTTATTGGCTACATGAACAAATCAGGAAGAGAGATGGAAAAAAACCTTTTATGTCACATATTTAGTAGGCAGCAAAGCACAAGAGATTCCAGAACAGGATTAACTGATTCTAAAACAAAAGGCAAATTTCTTATCTTCCTTAACTTCAAGTAGTCTATAATCTAGTTGGAATAGTAAGACACACACAAAAAAAAGGTAAATAATAACAAAAACTTTCTTATCCAGAGCAAAGTTTCTCATCCTCAGCACTACTGACATTTGGGCCTGAATAATCCTCTGTACTTCAAGCTATCCTGTATGCTATACGATGCTTAGCAGCAAGCCTGTACTCTTCCAATTGGATGCCAGTGGCACTCAGCCTCCCACATTTGTAAAACCAAAAATTTCTCCAGACACTGTCCTGTTTAAGAACCACTGATCTGCAGCAATTGCCAAGTTTATCTCACAATCACTGTAATCATATATCACCAATAGGATTCTCTCCCAATTCATTCTCAGACACTAGACAGCAGTGCTGGCCAGCAGCAGTGCCAGCCCTCACCACACCCACTCCTGACTCCTCCCATCCAGCTGCATTTTCATAATAAGCTGACTTGTCTCAGTAGGATATCTTAAAAATCCTTTTCAGAATGAGACCAAATTTGTGTGTGGTGGTGGTGGTGGTAAGGGGGCGAGGGGATGGGAATTACAGGAGAAAAATAAAATATACACCATAAAACAATGTAATTAACTGGCAAATTACCCTATTGTGGAAAATTTGCCAACTATCTTTTTTACAATAGTGCTATGAAGGATGGATTGGAGGCCAAAAGTGAAAAAGAGTTCTTTTAGTCCAGGCCCTCCTGATTAGAATGGACTTCACCCAAGAGCTAAACAAAAGTGCAAACTGCCCAGGAATGAGACTTCCAGAAAAAACATTCAAGACCAAAGGCCTAGGGATGGAAGAGCCATGAATCTCAATGAAATCTTTTAAATATACCAACTGCATTTTCCTACAAACTTTAATTCTAAAAACCCTGTTGCTTTCACTTTCTGACTAATATATGATCCTAACCTAACTTATAAAAATGAAATTTATTTTGGTCAGGCCTAAAATAATAATATATTGAAGAACAGAATAGTGTATGAACAGTACCTGGCATATAACTCCTATATAAATGATACATACCATTAGCTATTGTTTTATATCTAAGAGTCTGTAATATTTGAGTATAGGGTAAAGTGGAAAAGATGAGTCTTTACCTTAATAAAATTTTACCAAAGCCTAAAAGTAAGTTTCCAGCCCAAGAATCCAATTCATAAATGATGGCATCTTGAACCCAGTATGATTTTGTACCCAAGGCTAATTTCTCTGTAATAAGATAACATCAAGATTTATTAACATAAATTTAGATCAGAATGTCTCAACTGGGGGTAAGTTTGGCTACCAGTAGACACTGGCAATGCCTGGAGATAATTTTTGGTTGTCACAACCTCTTGTCTTCAAGAAGTTTACAAACTAGTTGGAACAATAAGACAATAGAAGAAAAGGCAAATAATAACAAAGACTTTTCCATCCCAAGCAAAGTTCATCACCCATGGCACAACTGACATTTAAAGAGGATAATCCTTTGTATTGGGGCTATCCCATAGGCTGTAGGATGCTTAGCAGCAGACCTATCCTCTACCAATTAATGCCAGAAGCACTTAGTTCCAAATGCCAGAGAAGGTTTACTACAGGGTAGTGGTGGAGGGCACTCCAGGAATCTAGTGTGTAGAGGCCAGGGATATTGCTCAGCATCCCACAACAGTTACATGTCCCAAAATGTCAATAGTGCTAAGGTTGAAAAACACTACCTTAGGGGTTTCTTTACTATCAGCCAGGAAAATGAYGACCAAAGTATGCCAACAAACACTTCTCCCTCCTCTAGCATCACCTATTCTAGCTGCCCTCTGTACCTTGTCTGGATCCCTTGCCACTCCAGGGAAAAATGCTGAGCTGTCTTTTCCTTTCCCTGTTGGACTCAGACAACAAAGTGTGTTCATGCTACATGAAAGAGGAAACAAGTATGAAGAATGAGGTAGCCAGAAAGTGCAATGAAAATGCAACATGGCTTTTGTTTTTTCATCCAAAGTAAGCATGATTTTAATGGCCACTACCTACCACTCAGGCTCTGAATGAGAATCCACTACTCACTATTATCTTTATAGGCCTGCTCATTAGTGATTCAGACCAACATAATTTCCTCCAAGATAGTGGTAATTTTACCCGACAGCCCCCCTGGCTATTCCACGATGCCGAGGCCAAGGTTCATTTTAGGAGATTTTAAAAGAAAGAAAATTTGACAAAGAACATGTTTAAAAGATGTTAAATCTGCTGAGTGTTTGTTGGCATACTTTGGTCATCATTTTCCTGGTGAAACAAATCTGTAATCGGAGAGATTCAGGAGGCTAAGGCAGGCGGATCACAAGTCTGAAGCCAGCCTCAGCAATTTAGTGAGACCTTGTCTCAAAATAAAAAATAAAACGGGCTGAGGACATGGCTCAGTGATTAAGTGCCTCTGAGTTCAATCTTTGGTACCAAAAAAAAAAAAAAAAAAAAAAAAGTTAAATCCCATTCAGTCAGTCTTGATATATTTTATTATTATTATCTCTTAAGTTTTCTAAGGCATTTTATGGTCTGGAAAAAGTTCTTATCATCTCTGTTTCCAGCTGAACTTCACAATTATACTGTGAAGTGCATAGAGCAGAAACCATCACACTCCATTCTAGAAGGGTCCCAGACTCAGGGCTCATCACTCTCTCTGCTCTGCCAGGCTGGTACATTTGACTGCTGACCTGGTTGCAGACTCTCACTCCTTTGTACCTAGATAATCATTTAAGCATATTGACATAATTATGTTTACACAGTGTAACACTTTTGTCCTACAAAGGAGCTTAACAAAAAGAAAGTTATATGACAGAAGGAAGAAGAGACTGGAGAAGGTAGGCTACATAACAAATGTATTTAGGCAAAGCATTTTAAAATAAAAAACTTCTTTGCACCTTCATTTACAGAGCAAACTAATTCATAATAAAATGTCTCCTTTACTGATTCCAAGCAATATAATTCAATAACTGCCCAGTTTTTCAGAGAAAGATCTATACCCTATACATCAGGAAATGCTTTTGGAGATCAAAAAGATAATGGAAACTAAGGCTCAGGGCTTTTGTTTTCACTTACAGTAAACCTAACTGCATCTTCATAAATTATGGAAACCTCAGCTTTCTTACCTGTTTTATCCAACATTTACCATATACCATTATATGGAAAGCATTGCTGAGTTTATCAGGGAATACATAGGGAAGTGAGGCAGTCCTTGCCCTGGATCTGTGGAAAGTACAAGCATAATTTCCAAACAGGCAAAGCACAGGGATAGTTGTAAAGAACATCTAATGAAATAACTTGGGCAGAAATGGTTTCAAAAAGAAACCATCTGATTCCTGAAAAATGGGGAAGGTATTACACAATGGAAGGAGAGGGCACTTCTGATTGAAAGAAGGTTAAGACATGTTGAATTAAGTTTGTTTGTAGAAATTGAGCATTCTGGGATCAAATTCAAAATGCCAAAGCTACATATGTAAATAAAGGCAAGAGCAYCCACTTCTCTTGTTTTAAAACTGAAGCTCCCTTTAGTCACACTGCCAAGTAGAAGTAAGAAACAAGAGGGCAGCAGGGTGATCTGCCTCAAGGGAGGGGGGATACCTTTGCCTGGAGATGCCTTCCTGGAATGCCAGTACAGTCATGGGGAATGAGGTGGGGTGGGGGTCCTCTCTTCCTCTCTCCAGGGAGCAAAGACTAACTCCTGGCAGAACTAGGACAACACTGCTGGTTACTGCTAGCCTCTCTGTATCACAGTCAAGTCTCAGCAAGGGTGGATGAGTCTGTTTCCCACCATATGCTTTGGAGCTGCCACTAAGAAAACCTAAGAAAGTCCTTCTCCAGAGCACACCTGTGTCCTACTGGCCCCAATCCTATTCACCCTAATATCCCAGCTAAGCAATAAAGGTAGTTCCTTCATAATCCTCCATGGGACTTGGGCCTAAGCCTTCCTATTCCAGGACCACAGGCTCCCGAGTGAGGGCACTGTCACCAGCTCCAGGGCTCAGCAAGGGCAATAACAACCCTTCCTGAAGATTCTAGTTTTTCACCCCACCACTGAAAGGCCACGAAAGGTATAGCGCCCGGGTTTCACACTCAGGACCATCGAAGCACATACTAGCTAGTGCAGACGAGGGCAGGACCTGGCCGGAACTCAGGCCAACTCCAGCGAGTAAACCAGGCCGCGGCCCCTCTACGGATGAGGGATGAGCGGCGCAGGAGTCAGTGTCAATGCTTGGGGAGAAGGCGGATTTGGCTGCAGCCAGCTCAGAGCACGTGCCCAGGTTTGCCAGCCTCCTGGGCGGAAAAAGTCTACTCCCGCCGGCTCCGCAGCTATGGCACCGGCACTGGGCGTCTGGGACGAAGTGGGTAGGGCCTGTAAGAGGCCCCAACTCGACAATGGATCCCAAACCCACTCCAGACTCTGCCTCCTGCGACCCCTGCGATCACTCACCATTGTGGTTGACCCAGGTTGGCTTCAAGAGCTTCATTGTTCGGCTGCCGCCGGGCTGAGGCGAGAGCCGCGTCCCTCAGCGCGCCCGGGCCATGGAGCCACCGCCGTAGTTTCCTCCCGCGCCGCCCACCCTCCGGCCGCCGCCCGCCTCGCACCCTCAGCGCCGCCGCGCCATAGCCGGCCCGCGCCCCCCGCCGCCGCCACTGCCGCCCCCCGCGCCTGGCCGCCGCCGCCGCCACCACAGCCGCATCCCCTGCGCCGCTCCTCCTCCCGCGGCTCCCGGGCAACGCCGGAAGTCACGGCGCGCACCTGCCAAATCGCCCCGGCGGGAAACCGCTCCCCACGCGGACAGGGCCGACCGAGCTCTACGGCAGGCAAGGGCAGCTTAAGGCGGCTCCGCTTTGGGTCAAGCGTGATGCTGTCGCTGACCAAGGGCGGGGCGACCCGGGCAGCAGTGGCCTAACAGAGCCTAGAGTTGCAACCCGGCCGGCCTGGCGATCCAGAGAGCTAGGCTGAGCCTGAGTGTTCTAATAGCTTGTCACCAGGTCTCCCCGGCTGGTTCCGAGTTCGACTAATTAATTAGGTTATGTCATTCATCAACACTATTCGCCCCGGCGCTATTGGGCATCTAGCGAGAGCCAGTCCCCGTGCAGGCGCTGGGATGCAACCACCTGACGGTCGCAGCCGGGAATTTGAACGAATGCGAGAAAGGACCCAGTTCCGGGGAGGGTGGCGGGAGAGGCCCAGGAAGGCGCGTTTATTGGAAGATCGGGATCATTTTCACAGACGCGGACACTTGGACCGGGTAGAGCAGAGTGACGCCCTCTCGGCCATTCTGGCTGCCCAGAAGGACCAGACCTTCGCTGGGACACACGCCAAACATCCTAAGCAGCGGGCGGCCGTTATTAGGCCTGCCATAGGAGCGGGCTCACAGCCGTGGAAAAAAAGCGGAAGGAAGGACCCCACGCACCGCGAAGTGAAAGACGCCCGCAGCGTGCGGCCCGCTCTAAGGACGCTGTGGGCGGGACTGCGTCGGGGCGGGGCCAGGCTCGAGCCCAGTCTCTAGAGGCCGGAACGGTGAAGTGCCCGGCAGTGAGCCTACTGGACCTCTGTCCTTGGCTCAGCCGGCCGGACAGCCAAGGTAGGGGGCGCCCGGAAGCTGTCCGCCAGTCGGCAGCAAAACAAGCCATGGCGGCTGTGGCGCGGCTATGTGGGATGCAGGCTCTGCGTCCTCTAAGCCGGTGAGTTTGGGCTCTGGCATGGTCACGGGGCGCTCTGGGCATGTGCGGGATCTCGGCGGCAGGGATTTCTGCGCTCCCTCCCTATCTCCCTTGTCCACAGATATGTCAGGGCTGAGTCAGCTGATCATGTCTATAGTGAAGCCGGAGATTTTGAAAAATCCCCAGATTGACCTATTTGTAATATCTAGTATTTTTAAAAAAGCTCCAGGTTTAGCGGATGCAAGTTTTGTGCGTGTGCGCATTTTCTTTTCCTGTGCAGCGGGGAAAAAATTAGATATTTATATACACCTTGTCTCCTTCAGGCTTTCTTGGAAGACACAGGTCAGAGACACCCACCAGAGAGCTTCATTGTTGTCCTTCTGGGAACTCATTCCCATGAGGTAAAATTCAACCGCGGCCGGGACCTCTTTGCGGGTGTGGGCAAAAACAGAGGTGCATGTGACCAGAATAAAGTAAGACTGCTCCACATTTGGCTTGCAAAATTCACTACACAGCTTTTCATAGTTAAATTTGGGCAGCTGCCTGTCAACAGGCTCTGTCCCATATTTTGCTATTGATTAATTTTTAAAAAATTAATTGTAAAAGTATTTTGAATAAATATCAATTAGCCAAGGACACAGCTTGTTTGTCCATGGGCCTTCCTCTCCTACTCATTCTGACTCCCTGGGTACCAGGAGGTTCGAAGCCTAAAGGTATTTCCATCTTGGACTCTTAGGCCCTATCCAGGGACTTTATTCAGTTTTCCCCCCTTTGGTACTGGTGATTAAATCTGGGGATGCTTTACACTGAGCTACCTCCCCAGCCATTTTTGTTTTCTATTTTGAGAGAGGGTCTTGCTAAGTTGCCCACTGGGATTACAGGCCTGCCCCACAGAACCTGGCTAGGATTTGGTTATTTTTAATAGTAAGTTATGACTGGAAGATGTGTTCCTAATAACAGACTTTTGCCAAAGCTCAAAGATGGGAATAGTGTTAAGAAATACTCGGCCTGGGGATGTGGCTGAAGCGGTAGCGTGCCTGCCTGGCATGCGTAGGGCACTAGGTTCCATCCTCAACACCACGTAAAAATAAAAAAGATATTGTGTCCACCTAAAACTAAAAAATAAATATTAAAAAAAAGAAATACTGATAAGTGAATATACCAGTCACTTTTACTATGTTGTCTTTTCTTAGTCCTAAAGTATTTTTTTTTAAGAGAGAGAATTTTTTAATATTTTTTTATTTTTAGTTTTCGGGGGACACAACATCTTTATTTGTATATGGTGCTGAGGATCAAACCCAGCGCTGTGCGCATGCCAGGTGATTGCACTAAGGCTTGAGCCACATCTTCCAGCCTCCCTAAAGTATTTTAATAAATCATAAATCCATTTAAAATGTGAATAATGAGCTTCTATCAGTTTGGTATTTTCACTTTTCAGTGCAGTCCTATGGCACACTGGAATCCTAAGATTAAAAATGAACACTTCACTTTAGTTTACTCCTGACACCCAACCATGATTTCATACCTATTCCTGGCACCCATATCTGTTCTCACAAGGACACCGGGATGGAACTGCCACTCTATGCCACCGAGTTCATAGGATAAGAAACATGCACAACTTTTTTCCCCAGAGTACAAATATGAGGCACTTCACTTATCATTGTATCTCTCATGAGATGGATGAGGAAAACATTTAACATTTGCTTTTTATCCACTAGAGCAGAACCTCTGCGAAAGAAGAAGAAGGTAGATCCCAAAAAAGATCAAGCAGCAAAGGACCGTTTGAAAAAGAGGATCCGAAAACTGGAAAAGGCTAGCCAAGAGTTAATTCCTATTGAAGATTTTATTACCCCTGTGAGGTTCTTGGATAAATCAAGGTAAAGGTTCTCCTCTGGACTTAAAGTCCTGGGGGGTTGGGGAAGGAATTCCATTAATTTCATTTTGAAGTTCATGCCTGTCATCAGAATGGGTCAGTATGTTTGAGTCAAGTTGGCCCTTTTTGAGCCCTTATTTCCTTGATTGTGCCTTTTGGGAATTGGAGAACACTTATCTGATTTGTGCCCTTCTATGGCTAAGGATGGGAAAGTAAATCAAACAATTGTTTGATAAGTCCAGTGCAGATGCTCAAACAAATTTGCATCGGTACTAATGCAAGATTCATGTTTTTTTTCCCCCTTGAATATTGGCTGTGATTTCTGACGTGGGCCTTGGGTCTGCAGCCCTTGCCCCATCCCCACAATAGAAAACCCTCAGCTTTTTGTTTATCATGCAAATGCTCAGTAGTTGGTATATGTTGCAACTGTGTTGTATGCAGGGTTTGCAACTTTTGCTGCTTTTCTTGAAAAGTGTGCACAATTCCTAGAGCAGCACCTTGCCATGCAAGTGGAAAATAGCAGGTGTCACAAAGCTGTATTAAGACTCTCCCTGGGATTTTGGCTTTCATTTCATTTTTCTCTAGTAACATCACTCACTAAAGGTTGTTGCCTGGAGCTGAGAAAGTAATACCAGTTTTCTCAGAGTATACAAAAAACTTTGGCTTCTAGCATCCATTGCAGCTGGCACCACATTCAATATTACACTTCTTCCTTTGTCCCAAACTTTTAACTTTTCTTTTCTAATTCCTGTCTGTGCCTAGCCAGGGGGATGATTGGGTCATGTGCAGTTACACAGACTGCCTTGCCAATGAAGTCAGTACTTCCCAGCCTCACACTTTTGAACTTGTGCATTCACAGACAACGGCCTCAGGTGGAGCTTCCCTTTGAGGAAAGTGAGCGGAGAGCTCTGCTTCTGAAGAGGTGGTCCCTATACAAGCAGCAAGAGCATCAGATGGAGAGGGATGCCATCAGAGCTATGCTAGAGGCCCAGCAAGAAGCTCTACAGGAACTGAAACTTGAGTCCCTAGAGCTCTACACTGAGGCCATCAAGCGAAACCTCAGCCTGTTCCCCTTTGAGAGGGAAGGGCCGAATTACACACCACCAATCTCTAACTACCAGCCCCCTGAAGGCAGGTACAATGACATCACCAAGATATACACACAGGTAGAATTCAAGAGATAAAGCTCAACACAGCTGTTCTTAAACCAATCTGCCCCTAGGAGTATGAGGGCTCTTTTCCACAAGATTGAACATGCTGGTAATAAATAAAAATTTAATCAAAAGCCTCTGTCAAAATTAATTCATCTGATGGATGGGAGTGAGAGATACTGCTATGCCAGGTACTGGAACGAAGATGACAAAGACATCAACCTCTACCTTCCAGTGGGAAAAAAATACGAGTAAAAAGGAAGATTCCAACTGGGCATAGTGACTCAGGCCTTTAATCCCAGGGACTTTAATCCCAATACTAGAGGGCAAAAAAAAAAAAAAAAGACAATTTTATAGTCAAAATACCACTTGTAGAAGCACAAAGTAACCCAGAGGTGTGGAGGTGAAGGATATATAGGATTTTGTTAACTGGAAAAAAGTACACCAGATGTAGGATCTTCACAGTAGGACAGACAGGAAAGCCAACTTTTGAGTTTTTTTCTTTTTGGGGTGGGGGGTAGGCATGTACTGGTTTGCACTCTATTATCGAGCCATATCTCCAGCCTTTTTTTTTTTTTTTTTTAATTTAGAGACAGGATCTAAGTTGCACTGGTAGCCTTGAACTTGCTGACCTGCCTCAGCCTCCCAAATTCTGAAGATTTCAGATGTGTACCACTGTGCCCAGCCATCTTTAGGGTTTTAAGTTGGGGAGTGAAGCTGTAGAAGGTAGAGCAAACCAGGGACACCTTAGTTAAAGCTGCTCTGTCCTTCAAGAGGTGTGAGGCCATGACACATTAGCTAAAGCTCCTGTGCCCTATAAAAATATGTGAGGCTAGCTGAAGCCAAGGGCTCACAGCATTATTATTCACTATTACTGATCTGGAATGGTGAATAAGTTAAGTTAGCTTGGACTGCCATAATAAAATTCCACAAACTGGGTGGCTTAAACAACAAATGCTTATTTTCTCAACCGTTCTAGAACCTAGAAATCCTAAGATCATATAAGTAGAATCATAAGTGTTTGTCTTTTGTGACTGACTTACTTCACTAAGCATAATGTCCTAGAGGTTCATCTGTGTTGTAGCATGCGTCAAAATTTGTTTTTTTTTTCTTTTTAAGACTGAATTAATATTCCATTTTATGGATGTACCACATTTTGATCATCCATTCTTCTGTTGATCAACACTTGGGTTGCTTTCACATTTGATTTTTAAAAATTTATTTGTGGAACTAGAGATTGATCACAAGGGTGCTTTACCACTGAGCTACATCCCCAGTCCTTTTTTATTTTATTTTTTGGTACCAGGAACTGAACCCAGGGGCACTTAACCACTGAGCCACATCCCCAGCCCCTTTTTATATTTTATTAGAGATAGGGACTCACTGAGTTGCTTAGGGCCTCACTAAGTTGCTGAGGCTGGTTTTGAACTCACCATCCTCCTGCCTCAGCTCCTAAGCTGCTGGGATTACAGGCATGCTACACTACTCCCAACTCTTTTTATTTCTGGAGACAGACTCTCCCTAAATTGCTGAGGCTGGCCTCAAACTTGCATTCCTCCTGCATCAGCTTCCTGCATCACTAGGATTACCAGAGTGCACCACTGTGCTTGACAGCTTCCATATTTTAGCTATAAAGAATAATGCTGCTATGCTATCTCTTTTGAGACTCAGCTTTCAATTCTTTGGGGTGTATACCTAGAAGTGGAACCTCTGGACTCTTTGATAATTCTATGTCTAATATTTTGTGGAAACCCATACTGCTTTCCTTTGAGGCTGAGCAATTATACATTCCCTCCACATAGTGCACCAGAGCTCACTGACACTTGTTTTTTGTTTTTAACAGTAGCCATCCTACATTTCCTAATGGCGTTGAACATCTTTTCAGGTGTTTATTTTCCATTTTTACATTTTCTTTAGAGAGACATCCGTTCAAGTCCTTTGTCCATTTTTGAATTATTTTTCACATTCAGCTTTATATATTCGATTAATTCCTTATCAAATAAATGATTTGAAACTATTTTCTCCCATTCTGTGTGTTGCCTTTTTACTTTGTGATTTTTTTTTTTTAAAGGGGGGAGAATCCTTGCACACGCCACGCAAGCACTGAACTACATAGCTCCCTCCAGCCTTTTTATGGGTGCCAGGGTTTGAATTGAGGGTGCTTAACTATTTTATTTTATTGAGATTATTGTATTTTATTGAGACACAGGATCTCACCGAGTTACTTAACACTTCACCTTTACTGAGGCTAGCTTTGAACCTCCAATCCTCCTGCCTTAGCCTCTGAGCGGCTGGTATTATAGGCATATGCCACCACACCCAGCTCTTACTAAGTTGCAGAGGCTAGCTTTGAACCTGTGATCCTCCTGCCTCAGCCTCCTAAACTGCTGGGATTATAGGTGTGTGCCACCACACCAGGCTCCAGCCCATTTTATTTTGAGACAGATTCTCACCGAATTGCAGGGGTGGTCTCAAACCTGCAATCTTGTCTCAGCCTCTCAAGTTCCTCAGATTACTGGTGTCCACCAACTGAGTTAACTTTTAATAAGATCCAGCTTTATTCAATACGGACCAGTTTTGCCAGTCCTTTCCCTATTGAATCATTTTATCAAAAATTGTTTTGCTATATATGCAAGAGTTTATTTCTGGATTCTTCTAGTATGTGGTTTACTTTTGTAATTCTTACCAGCCCTGAATAAAAGTATAGCATAAGGATTCTAAGTTCTTTGGCTCTACCTCTGAGTCAAATAACAAATCTAACTGGTTCCCTTGACCTCCACTGCTACCTCTGAGGTCTGAGCTATTGTTAACCTTTTGCCTGTCCTACTACAGTAGACAACTGATCTGTCCATGTTGGGCAAGTTCACTCCAGTCCCTATCTGTGCAGTAGTAGCCAAAGGTCTCTGTAGAAAGCAAGTCAGGTCAGGTCTGTGGCTACCCACCAACCTGAGAATTCCAACCAGGCCCCTGATCACTGGGTTTGAACTCTGTTCTTCCTGCCTTAGCTTCCCAAGCCACTGGGATTACAGGTATGCACCACCCACATCCAGCCCCAGCACTGTCTTAAGACAAGTTCTGGCGAAATTGCCAGTGCTGGCTTCAAACTTGAAATCCTCATGCCTCAGCCTCCCCAGTTGCTTCGTTTACAGGTGAGTGCCACTGTGTCTGGCTCATTTTAGACTCTTACTGCAGTGTTGGAGATGGAAAATAGGGCTTTGTGAATGCTGCGCAAATGTTCTACCATTAAACTACTCCCCCAACCCAAGACTCATATTTGTTGATGTTTGTTCTTTCTTCAAACTGCAATACAAATTATTTGAAGGAAACTTATCAGTTTCAAGACTGCAGTCTTGGCTAGGCCTGAGGCCCTGTGTTACATATCAAACACACACAAACACAGGCAAGAACATTCTGTGCAGAGATTATTTGTTTATGTAGAACTTGTTCAGTAGAGGAAGACAGACAAAATGCAACAGTAGCAGTGCAGGAGGAGGACCTGAATATTCAGATAGAAAAGAACAAAAACCAGAATATCTTTTGTGCACATAGCTCCACAATGCACACAGGTCTGAAAAAGCAGGTGGCAGGGTGCGTAGCTGTAGTGGGAGGAGTCCTTCATGGACTGGTGCATATGGGGGAGGGTTCCCTTAAGCTTTACTTGCATGTCCAGCCCCACCCCCCTCCAAGGTAGATGATACAATTTCGGGTATAAAATGCAGAATCCAGGGCTGGGGTTGTGGCTCAGAGGTAGAGCTACAGCTCTCGCCTACCATGTGTGAGGCCCTGGGTTCGATCTTCAGCACCACATAAAATCAATAAAATAAAGGTGTTGTGTCCAACTACAACTAAAAAGTAAGTATTTTTAAAAAATGCAGAATCCAAAATTCAGATGCCTTTTCCCTGTGTTTGAGAAAAACTCTTATAGATCTTTAGCTGCTGCCTTCTCTGACTTCATTAGCTGGAAATGTATGTCATTAATACAGCCACATTCAGGCTGGATTCTCCCTGCTTAGCTTAGTCACATCAAGGCTATCCCGCTATGGTGGGGAAACTCTGACTTCTCTTCACTCCTCTGCTTTTGAGATCCTGTGAGCACATACCCCCCTCACCATTTACATGAGTACGGAAAACACACTTGGAAATTTTATTTGTTAATGTATGCCTTTCTGAAATGATCACTTATTTTGTTTCAAAGAACAAATCGAAAGATATTTAACCCACTGCCCATATCCAGGAAAGGATAGGAGAGAGTGCTGAACACATACCCAAAGTGGTCCTCAGCATTGCACTTGGAGCCAGTTACACAGCCACAAGGTGCTAAACCACCTTATTTAGTAATAAACTTCTAAAAAAAAAAAAACATTAGTGCTCTTGGTGTTCATATGCATATATTTGACATGTCCACCCCAAGACTCATATATTGATGTTTAATGTTTGTCTTTCCCTTAAATTACAATAGAAACTATTTGAAGAAAACTTATCAGCCTTAAAATAAAAGACCCAGCCCTTTTGTATTTGTGTTTTTAACACCAATATTCCATGAATTTTTGCAAGGTTGTTTCCTATTCCTATGTGCACTTCTTAAAAAATCTCCAAGGGCCTCCTTGGGAGCCTTCCATGAAGTTTCCTAGTGCAGAGGAGCCAGTGAGCTCCTGCCTGCTTGTCACACCCCACCTGCATCTGCAGTGGAATTGAGCATGCTTGGATGTCAAAGGTTGCAATACGTAATCATAAAGCCTGGGATGTGGTAGTCTATTTCCCAATGACAAGGAGAGTAGTTCATAGAAGTACAACTGTTTAGCCACCTCATTCTGACTTAACCAAGTGTCCACACTTGTCAGGGTTCTCACTCAAGTTATCCTGAGAATCCTATAACCCAGAGACTTATCCCTGGGGTAGGCTTTAGTAAGTCTGGCCTCACTGCTCACAGGTACCTGCCACAATACTTGGCTTCCCATAATCTGTATAGAGAGGGTAATAGTCTTTCAGTGCATTGTGGTGGTAGATACCCTGATGCTGGTGAGAGACAAGCAGGTTAGAGCTACAGATGTCCAGTTCTGTGTAACAGATTGAGTGGAGACTCAAGGGGGTCCCTCCCATTAGATAGTTTGGGCTGGTCACAGTTCTTAGGGCTGTGTGTCAGCTCCACTTGAAACAGACTTGAGGAAGCTGCACAGGCCAAGGAGAGGGATGCTTGTCACTCATTTTTTTCCTGCAGCAGAGGAAGGTGCCAGTCAGCAGGAGGGCTCTGCCTCAGGGCCCACACCAGGGTGTTCTTCTGTGCAGCCTGGACACGTGCCCGCTCACTCTCACAGAGGGATCGCTGTGCAAAGAAGATTCTAGATCACTCTCTGCCTCATGGCTGAGTTCCAGGGACTCAAAAATTGTCACATGGCCCTGGTACCACCCACCTCCTCCAGCACCCTCCTAAACATTGATGGACAAATGGAAGAATAGAGTATGCAGTTTCATAGCTCAATGGCTTCCACCCAAGAAATCTTAATGATGTTCCATATTAGCACACATATCTAGACCATTCTTTCTCATAAATTACTGTGGAAAACTGTGTAGATCATTCTGATTTAAGGACTTTTATAGCTTGCTTAACTTTTTAAATTTTTTTTTGCAGTACTAGGGAGTGAACCCAGAGCCTGGCACATGCTAGGCAAGGACTCTACATGAGGTACACCTCTAGCCCTTTTTGGTTTTGGGGAGCAAGTTCTTGCTAAGTTTCTTGAGGTTCACCTTAAACTTATGATCCTTCTGCCTCAGCCTCCCAAGTGGCTGGAATTATAGGCATGTATCACCATGTCTGGCAATTGAGGAATTTTAAGATGTCTTGTCCTGGGCCTCAGGATCAGATGGCTTTGGCTGGCCTGGTAAGTCTGGGACAACTACTTCACTTGTTAAGTCTGAGGGTGGAGGCTCTAGGTGGGAATAGCCACTGTGGGGAGGAAATATACGACAGACCACTGGGTGAGGCTGTTTATAACAGGTACCTCAACCCACCAGATTCTCTCAGCCACTAACCCCAAGACAGACAAAGGGCAGCATATTACAAAGTTGAGTGGGTTCTTGTGCTATGCAGGCCTCTTTACACGTATAATTTTTAATCTATTTATCTGTCTTTATTCAAGCTTTTTTGTCTCAAAATATTTTTTTAATGCTAGGGATTGAACCCAGTGCTAGGCAAGTGTCCTTTACCTCTGAGCTATATCCCCAATTCCTCAAATAAAACATTTTTATTTTATTGTTTAAAAAGCAATCAGAAGGGGTCTGGGGATATAGCTGTTGGAAGAGTGCTTCCCTCACATGTGGGTTCAATCCCCAGCAACACACACACACACACACACACACACACACACACACAGCAATCAGAAGGGGCTGGGAATGTAGTTCCGTGGTAGAGTGCTTGCCCAGCATGCCTTAGGCCCTGGGGTCAATCCCCAGTACTGTAAGGGTGGGGGGTGGTGAGGGGTGTATCAGAAATGCACAGAATATGAAAGACCCCAAATCGCTATTCTTACTGTAGCAGTTAACAGCCTCCCCAAAACCTTCTTAATCCCAAGTTTTAAGGCTATTGTATGTTTCTCTTAAAATAGAATAATCTGCTATCTAATCTACTTCTTACTTTTTTCACTAAACAAAATCTTGTATACTGTAGGCATGCCCAGGTATTGCTATCTATCCTTTTTTTGGTTTTTTTGGTACTGGGATTGAACTCAGGGGCACTCGACCACTAAGCCACATCCCTAGCCCTATTTTGTATTTTATTTAGAGACAGGGTATAACTGAGTTGCTTAGGGCCTCACCATTGCTGAGGCTAGCTTTGAACTCATGATCCTCCTGCCTCAGCCTCCTGAGCCACTGGGATTACAGGCGTGCACCACCGCACTTGGCTGCTATCTATTCTTTTTAACTGCTGTGCAGTTCTTCCCATGTGGAAAAAGTTATCTGATTAAGTGTCTATTAATGAAACTTATTTTTATTTTCTGTATTATCATAAACACTGATACAGTGAACATTTTTAAGTTTTAACTGAGCACTACTGTTTAATTACACCCCTAGGATAAGCTTCCAAAAGTAACAATAAATGTTCAAAAGGTGTGCATTTGATGCTTAAACAATCAGAAAACTAGACACTCCCAACAAAACTGCATGAGTGCCCCCAGACTCTAAAAACTAACACTTTCCACTGGGCTAACAAATCTGCCATTTTTACTTCAGTCTGGCCATTTGCTTGTCTTCTTTTTTTTTTTTTTTTTTTGTGGTAGTGGTGATTAAACCCTTAAACCCAGTGGCACTCAATCACTGAGCTACCCTCCCCAGTCACTTTTATTTTTTGAGAGAGGGTCTTATTGATTGTGGAGGCCAGCCTTAAACTTGTAATCCTACTGCCTCAGCCTCCTAAATCCCTAGGATTACAGGTCTGTACCACCACACTTGGCTTGGTTTTCTTTCTTTCTTTCTGTACTAGGGATAGAACACACAGTGAACACAGTGGCTCAGGAGGCTGAGACAGGAGGATCATGAGTTCAAAGCTAGCCTCAGCAATGGTGAGGCCCTAAGCAACTCAGTGATACCCTGTCTCTAAATAAAATACAAAATAGGGCTGGGGATGTGGCTTAGTGGTCGAGTGCCCCTGAGTTCAATCCCCAGTACCACTTGAGCTATATCCCCAGTCCTTTTTATTATTTTGAGACATGGTCTCACTAAGTTGCTAAGGGCCTAGCTAAGTTGCTAAAGCTGGCCTTGAACTTGCAATCTTCCTGTCTTAGCCTCCAGAGTCACTGGGATTACAGGTGTTCGCCATGATGCCTAGCTTGGTTTTCTTTTTCAATAATTGCTTCTTTGTACCTTTTGTCCATTTTTCTGTTCTGCAATCATGTCTGTTTTCATATTGACATGTGTAAGAGTTTATGTAGATAACATACAAACTATAAGCTTTCTCCCATGTTTTTGACTTTCACTTATTGTGCACTTGTCATCATTTTATTATAGCAGCTTGGTTTCCACGTCAGTTTGTTTCAGAATATTTAACAACACTGAAGCTCCTGGCTGGTGGTGTTGGCTCCCTTCTATGTTCCCTGGCACTCCCCGTGGATCCCAAAGAGCCTTCAACATGATAACTGTCTGCCCAACAGACATCTAGAACCACTTCTTTACTATCTCCCTGGTCCTCTAAGATATATACTCTCTGCACCCCGGCAGCCAGACTGATCTTTTAAAAATTATACAATATTATGCTTCTCTTTTAAACTGGACACTAGTCTCTGAAGTCTTTTTCAAGGCCCCTCAGGTCCCTGGTACTCAACCACATCTCCAGTCCTCTACAGCCCACCCTCTCCTCAGGGCACCTGAGTCTATTTTCTTTTCCTAAGTCGTGCCCTTGGGGTTAAGTGAAGGCTCTGAAATCAGGAACAGCAGTATCACAAGCTCTACGGGTCTGCTGTAGACTGGAAGGTCGGCCCTCCTCTCTCCAAACTATATTTGTTTCCTTTTTTGTTCTTAACGCCCTCCGAAAATCACATAACACTAATTTGGGATATTTTTCAAAATAAGTGAGGGGAGGGACTCCAGTAATCGCCTGCAAAATGCCCAGGGCCTGGGGGCTCCACACCGCACTCCACCCAGACCTCTCCCAGCGCACCTGGGCCTCGGTGCTATGGCGTTCCTCCCAGTCGCGACAACTGGTCAGGTCGCGCAGCCACTGGTCGCAGGTCGGGAGCTCCCCGTGGACATAGTAGTGATGCAGGAAGTTCCGGGCGCTGCGACAGAGCTTCCACTCAGCTTGGTAGGCCTCACAGGGTCGCGGAGGCTGAGGTGAGAGATGGCGTCTGAGCCGGGCTCTGCGGACACGCTCCACGCCCCTGATCCCGTCCAGTCCTCGCCCTGCTAATCTACTTTCCTAGTCGGACCAGACCCCCGCGGACCCTTGTCGCCCACCACATTTACCATCCAGTTGTTGCCTTCGGCCATATTGAATCTACTGCCAAGCCACAGTGCATCCGCCCACCACCCAATGAAAACTGAGGAGAACACAGTATACGTAACTGACACATTGAAGAACCAATGAACTCCAAGAAAGTGCAACTCTTACCAAATACTTCCTGAGAAGTGCCAATAAACAGGACGTTTGAGTTCAATAGCCAATAATAGCCAGAGGCGGTGACACGAAGAAAGGCAGGGCGGGAAATGTGTTCCAAGAGACCCACAGTGACCAAGGCAGACTGGTGTAGTCAGCTAGTGTCTGACTGGCGTCCTGGGCTACACAGCCATGTACTTGGCTGTAGCGGATATCCCAATTATTTACATCATTCTTATTTTTTTAAATCTCGAAGATCTAGTTCATTTTTGAAAGCACGTTCTGTAAGCATCAACTTGGCAAGTGTTGCAGGGCTGCAGTGACCAGAGGTGAAGATGTAGTCACAAAATAACAAGAGTTGGTTGGGTCTGAGATATGTGCTGGTGGTCCTTGGGTGCAAAATGACTTCCCCAAGGAACCCAAGCTGGAAGAGGAGGCTGAGAGATGGGCATTCCCGGCAGAGAGAGGCGATAGAGGCAAAAGTATAGCTGGTGGGTCCACACAAATGCCTTGTAATACCTATGTAATGGCTCTCTGAATGAAATTCAATCATCTGCTGAGGTGCCCCTTACAATGCAGTTGCTGAGCTCATTCCAGGGATAACAGTGGGTCTGAAAGTATGTGAGAAAGCTACAGTTTTCCCAGGGGTCTTGTTGAGATGGCTGGCTCCAAGTTAGGAGAAGACACTGCCTGTGAAGAGCTGTAGGCCATACGGTAGCAGTAAGCACCAGGCCCAGTGCTCCAGGTGACATAAGTTAATTGGCCTGGGGATGTAGCTGGTGGGAGAGCACTTGCCTAGCATGCTGAAGGCCCAAGGTTCAGTCCCTAGAATCACTTTAAACAAACAAACAGAAATGCTCAAACAGCTACCAGAAGGCCTTTGGTGCAGGCAGGGAAGTGTGTCTCCAGTAAAGAAGTAGGAGTTTAACTGCATAAAGCCAAGTATTGCTTAAGGAATATAAAAACCTAGGGCCAGGACTTACATTGATATTCATTATGCACAAAATGACAATTTGTTAGCTATCAAGATCCTGCATATGGAGGCTGCCTACTTGCTAAGGAGAGATTTTACCTCTGATGTGAAACTGAGACCACCTAAGTGGAGGATCTGGTAGGTCACCATCTATTGCCAGTGATGATGGTTTGTGCTACAGGATCAAGCCCAGAATATGGTACTCATTCATGCTCTGGGTACATGGACTCTGGTGTTGCCTACCTTGGAAAGGGCATCCTCTCCTGAGTGTTGAAGAGAAACCCTGTCCAGAGTGTGATCATTTTATCTATAAAAGGGTAAATTCTGGCATATGGGGGATCTTACATGGGCCTGATCAGCTCTACTCCAGTTGTCAGGAAGCCTTGTTTGTCCATACTTCCTCCAGAAGGCAGCCCAAAGGAGCACTTTACTGGTTAGTGGCCCGACCACCAATCCGTGTTAGTACTTAATCAAACATTTAGAGGCAATCCACATTTCAATCATTGCCTATTTTTATTTGAAAATTCTCAATTTAGAATTATTCTCAAGAACTAAATTTAAAATAATTGGATTAGCAGGTCAAAAGATCTCACATTATAGAAAATGACAATTTGAGACCAAATTAAAACATATAAAAAATGGGGCATTGGAGGGTGCAGCTCAGTGGTAAAATACGTGCTTAGTATTCCTGAAACCCTGGGTTCAATTCTAGCACAAACAAAACTAAACAAACAAAAAGACTGGCCATTAGAACCTTGGATAATTTAATAAATTAAAATTGCAAACTGTAAGGGTAGGGAAGGAGGACAAAGAGGAACATATCTTCAGCATTTATTTATTCTAACAGTCATATTTGGTTTCATCATGGAGTTGTTTTATTATAGAATAGGTCAACTAAGGAACCAGTTATTTCCACATGAAATCATCGTATAGGTTTCCTTCATAGGAAAAAACTCAATATGTAAAACAAAAATAAAAACACCCTTTCTCAAATACTTAAATTCCAACCATAGGAGTGGGAGAGCCACTATTTACAGAGCACATATCTATTTAAACCATGTTTTTCTAAGCCAGATACAATGCCTATGCAACAGACCTGGGAAAAGTAAAAATGAAGAGAAAGAACACCTTAAGTTACAGCAATTCAATTCCTCCACTGGTTTTGTAAGAAATGAGGAAACTCTGTTGTGCTGAGGCAGAGTGGGAGAGCCCTTGAGCTGCAAGCATGAAGTAGTGAGGAGGTGGCTGACTATGGAACCTCAGAGACAGCTCTTACTCTTTCCCAATATCAAGTACACAATCACAAAGTCCTACTGCTCCACATCCAAGTCAAACTTGATAATTCTTAGGTAATGCTAAACAAACCTTAAGTAACAGCATTCTCTGATGATAGTCTCATCCTTGTCAGAGCCAGTAACTAAAAGCCAATATGTTGCAATTGATTCTTTTATTTTCCAGTCAACAGTCCCAACTTATGGTTTTCTTCCCTTTTTACGCAAGGACTGTCCTTCTCCAGAGAAAGCAACAAATCTGCCTCCAGCTTCATCCTAGATGTGAAGATAAGACTGTTTTCAGAAACTTCCTGGAGGTTTACAATGAATGCCTTATTCTGTATACACATCAGTACCATTTTTCTTCCACATTATTTGTAACCAGAAAACTCTAAAATATAAATACAAAACCACAGAATCACAACTGTAAGTTGAATTTACAAAAGGTTTTCAGGTTGAATATACAAAAGTTCCTCATCTATAAGTTGAAAAATATCATATTAAGTTAAAAAATATATTTAATACACCTAACCAACTGAGCACAGTGGCACATGCCTATAATCTCAGAGACTCAGGAAGCTGAGGCAGGGTTCCAAGTTTGAGTCCAGCCTCAGCAACTTAGTGAGATCCTGTCTCAAAAAATAAAAAGGGATGGTGATGTGGCCTCTGAATTCAATCCCCAGTACTACAAAACAAAAACAAACAAACAAAAAAACACCTAACCAACCAAATATTCTAACTTAGTAACACATCACACTGTGGAATACTGGTTGTTTCCCCTCATAATCATTTTGCTGACAGGGAGTTGTGACTCAGACCTATTGTCTAGCATCAGAGAGGATCATACTGCTTATCACTAGCCCAGCAAAAGATCAAAATTCAAAATTCCATGCATTGCTTTCACATCTTTGTAAAGTTGAAAAATCCTAAGTAGAACTATAATACATTAGAGACCATTTGGATATCTTTTTATGGAATAATCACTCATAACTTCATCACCTAAAAAGAACATTTCCTGTCATTTTTCTGTATATATAAACTTTTCTAATTCTGAAGTTTCAAGCTGATGAGTTTCTTATCTAGCACATTCCAAATGCTACAGAGAACTCCATCAAGGAGGGCCAGTCTTCTTCCAGTGGATATTTCTGTTATTTCCAAGATTGTAGTATTATAAATTACAGTGTTAAGCAACTTCATATTCCAAACACCTGACTTTTCCCAAAATTCATGGATATAAGGGTTCATATACTTTCTTTTCTTTATGGTATAAGGGATGAAACCCAGAGTTTCATGCATACCAGGCAAATTTTTTACCCCTGAGCATCATCCCCACCCCTTTTAAAAATGTCTCCCAGGGCTAGGGATCTAGCTCAGCTGGTAAAGTGCTTGCCTCACATGCACAAGGCCCTGTGTTCAATTTCCAGCACCAAGAAAAATAAATAAAAAGTGTCTCCATAAGTTGCCCAGTTTGGCCTCAAATTTGTATTTTTCCAAGTGCTTTTATTCCTAGTTAGTCTGAGATATTGTCCCCTGACTTTCCTCTATGGAAGAAGAGTATTTCTAACACATAACCTCATACCTAGTACCCCCAAATTACTACAAAATATTGTACCTTGGTGGGGCAATTCAATATTTGTGATGACAGTCTTATGAAGGTGAGTCACAGCTGAGCCATATAGTCTTCCTTTCCTGAATAGCCTTTTATCTGTCTGGGTATGAATAACTATCTGGTTTTTCTCTTCCACCCATTGGATCATAGCAGGTATGCACTGATTTCTTCTACTTGAGGAAGGTATGTCTCTTGGGCCTTTAGCCTGCCCTTCCTGGACTGGCTATTGTCCAGGTGCTATCCATGATGATGGGGACTCCATAGTTCCAGGAGAATCTAGCTTTCTTATTTTTTTTTATCTCATTCCTTCATTTTAGTGAGGTACATTCTTCAATAGCTTTCTGAAAAAGGGTGTATAAGCAGGCTTTTTTTTTTTTTTTTGAGATCCTATGTGTCCAGAAATAAATTTTTTCTACTCTCATGTTTCATTGATAATTGTGTTAGTCTGCCTCTTAAAATGCCCTATCTCCAAATACAACCACATTCTAGGGCTTCCAGAGAGAAATTTGAGGGGGACAAAATTCAGCCCATATAAGTACAGATTTTTAGGTTGAAAATTATTTCCCCTCAGAATTTTAAAGATACTGTTGCACTGTCTTGTAGCTTCCTACATGTGTCCTAACAAGATGATGTCCTTGTTTCCCAATGGCACCTATCTTCTCTCTAGAAGATCTTCAATGTGATCCCTAGAATATCTTCAATGTGGAGCTATCTTCATTCATTGTTGGGTCCTTCATTTGGAGATATTATTTCCCTGATAGTTTTTGCTCCTTTGGTTTTTCTGGTCTTTTTTTTTTTTTTCCACAATTCAACTCTTTCCATTCTTTCTTTACCCCTCTTTCTTTTTTTTTTTTTTTTTAAATAAATTTATTTTTTAGGTGTAGATGGACACAACACAATGCCTTTATTTTATGTGGAGGTGAGGATCGAACCTGGGTCCCCCCTGTGCTAGGCAAGCGCTCTACCGCCGAGCCACAATCCCAGCCCCCTCTTTCTGACTTTGAAATAGGGTCTCACTATGTTATCTAGGCTGATCTTGAACTCCTGGGCTTAAGTGATTCTCCCATCTCAGTCTTAGGATTACAAGTGTATATGGCATTGCACCCAGCTTCTTTTCACAATTCTTAATACTTGTGTGGTAGAACTAGAAACTTTTTCTTTTTTGTAGTGCTAGATACTGAACCCAGGACCTCATAAATGCTAGGCAAGCATTCTATCACAGAGCCATGCTCCCATCCCGGAACTGAAAGCTTTCTGACTGTGGTTTTCAGTCTGGGATAAGCTGGGTAGGACAGACATTCCTTGGGGAAACACTACTGTTTGTCATTATCTTTAGGTCTTTTTTCTTGGGCTCATCAGTCTATGCAGAAAAAGCTCCAACCTCCAACTATAATGAGTAAGACTGTCTGCCAGTATACCGGGGACCAAGTAGTGGAAGAACATAAAGGGCATTAACATTCAGGGTACAAACTGTCTCTCCTTCTCACTCTTCATTTGGTCTTGCTATCCACTATGGCTGACTGCCCTAGTCCAGAGACYTTTTGATACCTTCTTCCGGGAGTACAGGGAGGGAGACTGCTACAGTTCTTAATGTTTTGTATTCTATCTTTAACCCCTCATTTCCAGCAGTGCCTTTTGAGAGCTCCACAGTCTATACCAAACTGCCTCTTGGCTTTCCTCACACTCAACTTAGGATGCAGCTTTCCATCGTCTTGTCCTTCTACTCTGAGGATTCCAAAATCTTGCTGGAGTTGCCTCCTCTTCCAATCTTTACTGTCTCATTGCCTGTAACCACAACTCTATTGGGCTTCAGGATGGAGTAGAACTAAGTATATGTCTTTAAGTCTATCTTTTTTGGTTTCCTCTTCTTCCCCATACTGGGGATGGAATTCAGAAACACTTTACCACTGAGTTACAATCCCCAGCCCTTGATCCTCATGGCTTTAGCCTCCTGAGCCAGTAGGATTATAGGCAAATGCCACAGAATCAGCTCAATCCCATCTTTCATCATACACTTCTTAAAAAATTATGGATAAATAAATTAAGCCTGCCAGCCTCACTCTCCCTTTTGTGAATCTATAAGTGATGATGAGCCATGAGCCATACCAAGAGGACACCCCACACTGAGGCCTCAGGTCTTATGAGGTCTGACTAGGAAACCATGTATACTTGGTCTGAACCTGGAAGATTCCCTAACACTGTGCCAATGTGGAAACATTATAGCCAGGAGCACCTGCACGTGGGATGGGGGTGTAGAGACAACACTATGGTGTCTGCTCCCAACCAACCCAAATGCTACAGTTTAGGGGTCAGGAGGGGCCAACAAGGGCCCCGCAGTCAGGAAATGGCTGATGACTAGTTCCAGTGACTGGCAGACCATCTTGAAAAGAGATCACAGCACATCTGCCCTCTCCCTTACTCCTGGATCCCCAAGGTCTGCTCCTTTGAGAAAAGGAACCAAGAAAACAGGGTCTAAAATGTGGATATTCTAGAAACTCTCATCACCTCAGGTCACTGCATCCAGCCACAACTACTGAGTGCTGAGGGCAGTCTCTGACAGGGTATGCTGGATTTTATGAGCCAACACCTAGTACCCTGAAGTAAATTCCCACAAGGCAGACCCTCACCTTAGCCAACTCCCCCTCTTCCCCCCTGTCAGACCTCATTTCCTATAACAGACGCATACCAGGCCAAGGGAGGCCTGCTGTCATGTCTCAGTAGAGGTAACTTTCAGCATGTAGTGGCACAAAAGTGAGTTATAAAGTGGACAGGAGTTATGACTGCAGGCTCAGAGAGCCCTCACCTCTGGGTTTTCACATATACATCTGTACAAATGCAGATAATCACAGCAGCCATCTCCTGGGGCTATTCCAGGGATTTAAGAGTTGTTACACATAAAGCACTCAACATTAGTAGTTGGCACCTATATCATGCTGGTTACCGTTGCTAGGTGACGAGAGTACTATGATGGCCTGAACTTAGGAACTTGAATGCCTGCCCTCTTACTGCAATACATTGAGTGATGTTTGGTGCAAAGTGCCTGTGAGGCCTGGCCATACAGTCTTGAAGTGTTCATGTCTGCAGGATGCTCAGTTCTTTCCTTCCCTTATCTTACAACCATCCCACTCAGCTAGAAGATGTTAAGAGACTGGAAGCACCAGGTCTCTATATGAGAAGCAAGCAGAATATAAGGCCCATTTAGGGTACACTATTCTTCAGTGGCAGAACCTTGAGTCAGCTCCTGTCCCCTGGACTGCCAGGCCTCAGCTCCTGACCCCTGGACTGCCAGGCCTCAGCCTATACTCCACAGAATTAGGCCATTAAGAAAATAATGACCCCAGGAATGGGGAACACAAAACAGAAACGCCCAATTCAGAATCATTACGAATCCCAGTCATCACTAGTAAAAAAATACTTCTCATTACCAATAAAATAAACTCACCTCTTCAACCTTTTTAACCAATGGACGTGAATTTCTGATGAAAGTTATTTTACCAAGTTTAAATTCATAATTGGGAATTCCTCTGTGAAGAAGAAACAAAAATAGAAATGTTCATTCCAAGAGGAAAGGACTAAAATTCACTTTTAACATCAAGAGGAGGGCAAGCAAAAAAAAGACCTCCACCCCAATACAACAACAACAACAACAACAACAAAACAAGTATCCCCCATTACTCTTCTGGAGATATATTGCTATATACTACCTAGGCCTCTGGTCAGCCCTTGAGTAATCCCCAGCATTCTTCTAGCAGGGATCCAGAAGACAAATGGTTTCCTGGTTTAGCATAAATACTGGGTATGGGGCAGGGGTTTGGCCTGTGCTGAAGAGTCATTTCAAGCCACACAGAGCCCCCAACAAGGGCTATACTCTCTCATCTTACTCTTTAAGAGAATGGGTTAAAGAAGGTGTCACTTGCATTCTCCTATTTACACACAGTAGACAGCTGACACATCTCATCCCTATCCCCACCATGACAGCTGCCAGAGGAGAGTCTATTGTGAGGGTATCTGAACCCATTAATATCATGGTCACATGACACAGCCCCTCCTTGGACAATGCCAAAACATAAAGCAGGGGCAGTTACAACAGACTTACCTTTTAATGTCTCCAGGCTTGATTGGGGAGGGACTGGGCTCTACCCCTTTCTTCTTTCCATCTAGTCTATTCCCAGAGCCAGAAAAGGCCTAGACAAGCAAGCAGAAGTGCATGCTGAACTTCAAGGGTGAGCGCACATGTGCCTGAGGGTGATGCCCAGACCCATTAGAACTAAAGTCCTTGTTCCCCAGTTGATGGATTATTGGCAGTGGAGATCTCTCCACCCAGCCTTTCAAGGTACTACTGAGATCCAAAAGAGCTGCCTGACCCTAGAGCATCCAGCAGCCAGTGGTTGAAAGGCTTGGCTAGTTCAAGCCCCTGTGGGTGGGCTAAGGCCTCTGTTGTGACAGCCTCCCAGATTTAGCTTCCTGAATGCCCAATCATGTCTCCTCCATTGTTTTTTGGTATCCCAGTGCTTGCACATGAGCCACCTCCACCTATTTCTCAGTGAGCCTGGCCAGAGGCCATGCTAAGGGTCATATCTCCAGCTTACTTTCAAATGGTGTAGGCAAAAAAAACAAAAAACAGGACATACTTTTAGCAATAGAGAAAAAGTAATAAATACTGTTGAACCTAAAGGAAGGATATGTCCATTGTATTAATTTAATTTTTTGGTAGGGTAATTTTCTTTAATGGGGAAAAAAAATAAAGTTGGGTTCCTTACAGGGTCGGTAAGATTCTAGGAGAAAGTAGATATGCAACAAGATTTAGGAACTGAGCAAGTGTCTGACTTGTGTATGTAGGTACCCAGAACACAACCCCTGCTAATGTCCACAGACCATCACAGAGAACAGCTTGCAGTGAATGTTCTGATTCAAGGAAGCACAAAGAGTAAAACATGTGGCCTGGTACTCACACGGAAGCCCAACTCTCCTGCATAGCCACTGTGGTCGGCTTCGCCTTCCTGATGGGGAGACAGAAAATAGGAGGTAAATTTCTAAGCATGAACATCCAGCTTTACCCTGAGCCTCCAGTTACTAATGCTGCTCCTACCCTGCATCAGCTTGGACACACTGTCCCCCAAGGAAGAGGGAAGAGAAGCAGGGGATATGACAATGCCAGCCCCAACAGAGGTCACACATAAAGAAGCACTAGTACTAAAAAGATCAAGTGCATGAGAATTTGGGAAGGGACTCTGGAGAAATCACTTACTGTTGACTCCTCATGCTGGACTTGTCTTTCAGGTTCCTTGTAGCCTAAGGGAGCATCAAAGTCCACCTGTATTGTCAAAATGAAAGGTAAAATGTTGAGACAAGGTCATACTCAGTTTCCTTGTCTATTTTAACTAAGACAACTACAGATTCACACATGGTTCTAAAAAATTATACTGAAAGATATGCCTATACATTATGCTTAGTTGTCTCAATTAGGACACATCACAAATTACAGCATTGCATGACTACCAGGATGTCAATGTTAGAAAACATACTGCTCTTATACAGAGCTTTCTGATTCTACATGTATTTGTGTGTATGTGTTTTGTGTAATTAGTTCCTTATGATTTCATCATCAAGAGGGTCTGTCTATCCTCCATCGCTTTTTTCGGCGGGAGGGGCTCAGCAATGAGGATGTTATGTACATCAATGGTTTATTCCTATTCAGGAATCTGAGAAAATTTCCTTGGCTCTTAAGAATATTTATTCCTTGGCAGATCTGAGCTGACCATAAATTCAGCCACCTCAGCACCATAAGCAAACTCTGCCACCCCTACTTCCTGGGATGGATCACTAGGTGAATGGTCACCTCGTGATGTTCTGATAGCATCTTCCTCCTCTTTACCCAAACAATCCCAGGGATTGAGTGATATCCCCCAGAAGCTCTGATCTGAGCTCACTGAAACCACAAAAAGTCACTTACATTCATGTCACACTCAATGATGGACACAGCTTTGTCAGGTTTTGTCTCCATCACCCGTAGTTCATAGATCTGTGGAAAAAATACAAAAATCAGTTGGGACAGTTGTGAGGCAGCACTGGGGGTTGGCAATGTCCCTGTTCTGTGGCTACCAGACTCCTGTGGACAGGACCATCATTCCCATGACATCATCACACAGCTGCACCTCCTCCTTCAGTTGAGGGGTGGGCTGCCTTTATGTCAACTGCTCAAGAGATGTTTGTTCACCATATGTGGTTCCAATTAGATAGTTATGCATCATATTGCAAAACACAGTCCTGTATTTTTCCCCTCTTCATTTCTTTAGGGAGTACTGGGGATTAAACTCAGGATCACTTTATCATTGAGCTACAACACGAGCCATTTCCATTTACTTATTATTTTTTAAATTTTGAGACAGGATCTTGCTAAGTTGCTTGCTCAAATACTGAGGCTGGCTTTGAAGTTCTGATTCTCCTGCCTCAGCCTCCTGAGTTGCTGGGATTACAGGTGTGTGCCACCATGACCTTTGACCCAGAAAGTTCACTTATAAGAATTTATTCCAAGTAAATAATTAGGCTAAGTACCTAAGAAGAAAATTCTAAGAAAGCTCATTCCAATACTACTAATAGTGTGTACCCAAAATGCCTATCAATAGATCACTTAGATGAATTACATTTGCTCACATGTAAAAAACAGGTTAGAGGCATAGCTCAGTGGTACAGCATTTGCCTAACACGTACAAGGACCTGTGTTCAAATCCCCAGCAATGCAAAATAACAACAACAAAAAAATACAGAAAGGGAAGAAATTATTTTTCAAGTATGTATTTAAACCTGTGCTTCAATGTATATCTTGTTATAATACCCTCAACTTACTGTGTAAAATCAGCAGCAGCATCTTTTATCATCAGTTTAATATATATACGTTTTGATGGAGGGGTACCAGGGATTGAACTCAGGGGCACTTGACCACTGAGCCACATCCCCGACCCTATTTTGTATTTTATTTAGAGACAGGGTCTCACTGAGTTTCTCTGCACCTCACTTTTTTGCTTAGGCTGGCTTTGAACTTGTGATCCTCCTAAGTCTCCGGAGCTGATGGGATTACAAATGTGCGCCACCACACCCAGCTATCATCAATTTAAGAGTCAGCATTAATGGGGCTGGGGTTGTGGCTCAGTGGTAGAGCACTCGCCTAGCACGTGAGAGGCGCTGGGTTTGAGCCTCAGCACCACATAAAAATAAATAATTAGGTACCTGTTATTCAACGTACTTACAAAAAAAAGTTAGCATTATTACTTGAGTATTAAGAACAATATCACGAAAGCTACCTACAATTAATCAAAAAGCTTAAAATATTTAATTAAGATAGACAATACTTAAAATATTCTCCATGAAGCTAAAGACAAGAATATTTCTTAGTTTATACAAAAAGAAAAAATAGAAACATATAATTTGAAACCCACAAAACAGGAAAGTAAAGGTTATTAGTATAAGATCCCTCAAATATAGGGAAACTTTCAGATAAGAAGCTAGATCTTTACATTGACACCAAGTAGTTGCCTCTAAATACTGCGAAGGAGGAACAGGCTAACCCATAAGGCTCCTGTGACATGGCTGTGGGGATCCTAGTCCAAAGGGACCAGACAATGTTGTAAAGGAGCTGAGCATTCGTCACAGAGGAAGTAGGCTAAACCAGGTTGGGGTCATTCCTGGACAGCAGCAGTCAGCCCTGGCAGAAATCCCATGGTGGTCAACTGTCAACTGTCACAGTGGACAAGAGGCATCAACACTACTGTATGCCACGCCTATGACAGAACAGCCTACTGGCAGGAGTTCCAGTTATTATATCCTCCTGCAAATGTGTTTCCATGGATATGGAAAGCAGATGGCCCCCTGAACTGAGAGAACTCACATGTCATTTCACTTTGTAGCTAAATTATCTAGGATCAGACACTCAAGAAGCACAGATTGATACATATGAACATTTGAACATATGAACCTATATCAGGAGGGGCTAAACCCAGAGGAGCTGCTAATGGAAAACTGGAGTTAAAAAAAATAAAACTGTGGGCTCCCATGAGAAGAGGAAGTGACTCCAAGAGACACTGTCCCCAGCAAGAGTCAGGTGCCCAAGGTACCTAACAACATTCAACCCACTGCAGGGCCAGCTCCTCCAGGGCTTGTCTGCTTCCAAGGGAAGAAATCACAAAGACAAGGATCCAGCTTTTCTGTTTCTAGATCCCTATAGCTATATAAAAGCCTTAAAGGCTTAGGTTACAGATATAATAAAGACCTTTTTAATAGAGGGAGAATTGACAGCCTCACCAACGTGGTCCACAGAGATATGATTAAGAATAGCAATATTAAGCTTATTTACCTACAAGTGTAATCAATCCTTAAATAGGATTTGTGAATTATGGCTATAGAATTTTAAAAAGCAAATAGCACGCAGTAATGAGGTACTAAGATCCAGGAATATCTCACTTAAAAAGAAGCCCCAAACACCAGAATAGACAATGTAAGTGGTTCTTTTTAGGTCCAATCTATGTTAAACAAAGCTCACCTACCTTCTCATTGTAATTGATGGCAATCACATCCCCAGTGGTCAGACAGGCAAAGTTTCTCAATGCATTTTCTAACCTGCAGACACACTGTCAAGGCAACATGGCAAAATGTATACCTTTAGTCTAAATTAAGTGTCTATGAGAAGTTACCATTAGGTACATGTAGTGTAGCATGCTAGAAGTAAAATCACACAGCTTTGAGCTGGGATATACCTCAGGAGGATGCTAATCTAGCATGCATGAGTCCCTGGGTTCAATCCTTAGCACCACAAAAATAAAAAACAACAAGAGAAACTTCAAAACACAGCTTAACCAGGCATGGAAGCTGAGACAAAAAGGATCACAAGTTCAAGGACAGCCTAGGCAATTGAGTGAGGTCCTGTCTCAAAAAAAAAAAAAAAAAAGTAATAATAATAGTCTAGGTGTGGTGGTACATGCTTGTAATCTCAGCAACTTGGGAGGTTGAGGCAGGAGAATTATAAGTTTCAGGTCAACCTCAGCAACTTAGCAAGACCCTGTCTCAAAAAGTAAATAAATAAAAGGGGCTGGAGCATATCTTAGTGGTAGAATGCCCTGAATTGAATCTCCAGTACTGCAAAACAAATTATTACTCCCAGTGACGCTGCAAGGGCATGCTTTGACTTTGACCACAATGGTTGGAGGCGCTGGGCCTGAACTACACTAGAACAGATTTCTTGGTTTTGGAGGATAGGGATGGCTGGCTCCCTGCATTACTTCTGCACGACCTGGCACATGCCAAAGCACAAGCTCCCCACCTTCCATGTTATATGCTGACTACCTTTATCCTGTCAGTCAAACCAGGGGAACACCCAATTGACTTTCAGCTAACACAAGTATTACTCTCTACACTAACAAGTTATCCAGGCCAATAGAAACAGCCTCTGAAAACAATCCCACAATAAGTTTGCATTGCAATATGCATAAAAACACAAAGATCAAAAGGAGCTATGACCACAGATTCAGGACCCCTTCTTGGTCACTAACAGCCCAACACATCTAGGTCAGAGTTCTGAGGAATAATGTATGATCTTCCCATAGGAAGATCTCCAACACACCCCTCCTCCAGGACCCAATCAGTAGGGGGCTCAATGAGGGCACTGTGTTGGAACATGATCAGCAAAGGACTTAATATGGCTCATATGCAGCTTGCTTCTGAAAGTGGGCCTAGAGAGTGACCAGATGGGGAGGAAGGCACCTTTTAAAAATTTTTTTATATTTTACCTTTCCATGTTGTTCACTTTTTTTCCCCCCCTTTGGTAAATAGTACTAGGGATTAAACCCAGAGGTGCTCCACCACATACCTATGTCCTCAGTCCTTTGAAGTAGCTGAGATAACAGATGTGTACCACCATGCCCAGCTCTTAAATTTTTTTTAAAAGCATGCATTTTAAAAAATAAATAGGGCTGGGGATGTTGCTCAGTGGTAAAGATTTTCTTAGCATGCAATGAGGACCTAGGTTCAATCTTTGGCATCACAAAAAAAGGAAAAAGTTAAATAGACACTCTTTAGTATTACGATTTTAACAAGCTAATGGGAGCCATCAAGCTATAGTTTTGTTGTTGTTGTTTTGTGGTACTGAGGATTGATCAGGGCCTTGTGAATGCTTGGCAACTGTTCTACCATTGAGCTACATCCCTAGCCCAAGTAAGAGATCTTGATCACAGTCCACAGACAGTATACCTCTTACCCACAATGGTCACTTCCTTCCCCAGTACTGCAAAAAAAGAAAAAAAAGAAAAGAAATAAATCACTAGAACCTAAACATCTGCTTTCTGCTGTAGACAGTCAACATTACCTATGATGGAATGACAGAGTCCTAAGCCTGGGAACACTATGGAACTGACTAGCCAGTTCTTTGTTGAGCTGGGTTATCAGAGGCTGGAGGGTGAAGGCAGGTGAGTCATCCCTACCTTCCACTGTACATATTGCACCTATGTACAAAAGACTAGACTTTGTGCCAGGGGGCAAAGTCCAACTGAAAGAGGAGTTCCACTTTGGCTTCTACGAGTGTCTGGAAAATGATCAAAGGAGGCATACAGAACATTTAGTGCACTCAGGACGAGGAGTCAGGTCAATGTGCTGGCTTTTTTTGGTTTTTGTTTGTGGTACTGACAATCAAACCCAAAGCGTCGTGCATACCAGGCAAGCACTGTACCACTGAGCTACATCCCTAGTTCTGAATGCTATTATTCTTAAATCATAACTTCAACCACAAACATGTGGTTCTGAAAGTAGCAAAGCACCTGTTATTAGTGGCTCCTGAATACCAATCTTCCATTTAGAGGAACCCTTCTTATTTCAAAAGGATACACTGCTTTGGGGTTGGTGATATCCAGGAAGTCTGGGCTCTGAGGCTGGAATTTGGAGTATGTAGCCACTTGAAGGTTGACACTTTCCACCTGCACCAAGCCCCCTTCTTCCAACAGCAAATTCTGCATCATCTAAAAGGAAGAATGCTGCATGAAACTCCTGGAAATGAAGCAGCATCAGAGTTATCATCAAGTTGTACAACGGATGAGCCAAAGTCTTACTTGGGGCCTCAAAAGAGGAGCCTGAGACAAAAGACTTGAGAACAGGTAATTTAATTGGGATACAACATCAGAAAAAATGAAAAATCAAGTGAGGGAACCATGTGGAAAGAAGAAGGCCAAGAAATGGGGGCTAAGGCTGCTGCAGCTAATAGCATGCTATATCTCTGCTGGGGCACCTCGATCAGCCTCCAGCTACAGGCCTTCTGGAATTCCTGGAATGCTCAGTTCCTGGTTCCTAAACTGTCCCACCAACAGGTTATAAGGATCTGGGTAAACAGGGATATACTTAAGGTAGGATAATAATAGCAGAAGATGAAGCTGAGCTACTATGGAATGGCTTGAAATGGCTAAGGCCATGTAGTAGTGACAAGACTCCAGAGATATCTGCTATAGAGAGGGTTATAAAAAACTGAGAGCCACCCCCSACATTCTTGTAATTCTTTTATTAAAAACTCAGTAAAGCAGATGATGGCTGAGGTGGAAGATGGAAACATCAACAAAGCCTATGAGAATACAGCATATTAGTGAGGAAAGCCACTACAGTGTGCCTGAGACTTAGGTCAGAGGAAAGAAGACTAGGCCAGGAAAATAGAACTCCGCATGTCCCAGAATAGGCTTTTGCTTGTCTTATTTTAAACCTTCTTGAAAAGAATGTCAGATAAATACATGGATAGAGAGAATCACAAAACCAATTTTTGCACAGCCTGCCCTGACAGTTCAATAGTAAGCAAAATATGGCTTAGCTCATTTTCTCTATCCACACCCCACTCTCCAGTCCCACCCCACACTGGACATCATGTTCTTCTGCGAATACTTCATCAAAAGCAGCAGTTAGGAAGTGACCCAAACAGCCCAAGAAATGGGGGACAGGGAGTTATGGTGCAGTTAAGAGAAAGGGAGCTTATCTGGAGAATTGGGCATAACTGGGGCAGCAGCTATACCTTAAGGAAGGCAGGGGCCCAGCCATGAGCAAAGTTCAAGAGTGAGTGGGTCCTAAGACAAGCCTATGGAGGCCTCAACACACTTGAGCTGAAAGGCACTTATCAAGCTGGAAATGACAGCAATGGAGGGGTTGTCATTCCTTCTAATGACACAGGGAGCTACAGTAGGATGGCAAGGCAAGCTGGCTTTGAACTGAGGGTATTGTGACTTTGGAGAGTGGAAATGTTCCAAGGCTGAGTCAGCCTGCTGTAGGTCAAACCCCAGGCCCTTGGGCAGACTTTTCTGAGTGATCCGTCAGTGAGGAGGAAGAGGACATTAGTGGTATGAGGCCCTGAAGTACAAAGGGCAAGGTTGTGATCACAGGCTGGAGGAAGCCTGTACTATAGTGGGAGTAGGAGGAGATTCCTCAGTCAAGAGGCAGGACACAGCCACAGAAGGCTTGAGACAGAGAGACAGAAGTGAGGGTTAGATCAGGGCTTGCGGTGAGAAATAAGCTGAGGGCAATGAGGGAGGGGAGGGGGAGCTGAAATCTTGCTCTATACCTAGTCCACCAGTTTGGCGGTATCCAGCCCCAAGGCAAGTTCTGTGGTGATGCACGCACAGTACAAAAGGCATCTGGTCTGGTGCATATCTTAGTGCTTGCAAGCGGCCCCAGGAAGGAATAAAGGTATAAGTCAGCAGTTGCGGTCCCAGCTGCTAGAACACAGGCCAGCATTTATTTTAGCCTGGCTCCCAGAAGTAGCTCTGGAGCTCTGGGAGGGATGGAGTTGACCAATCAGTGCAGGAAAAGCACTTGCTCCCACAGCCTGTGTTGCCTTAAGCAGCAGTTGGGAGGCATAAGGCAACTTCCTCATGTTAGGATCTGAAAGGCCAGGTTAGAAAAAAGAAAATAAGAGAATAAGGCTTCTCAGAGGTCAAGAGATTCCTCAAGAAAAAGGTTCAATTAGTTTCCTAATCCAAAGTTGTCAAAGAGTCAAGTAGCCACCCAAACTCCAAGTCTGTGGATTGGAAAAGAACCTCTGAGATACAGTATAATCCCAGTGTCACCACTTCTTCTTTCACCTTTACAGATAATCCACAGAGGAGTCTCTGCAGGAACAGAAAGGACTGAAGAAATAGTTGCTATCAAATATTTCAACAACTCAGAGCAACTTCAATGACCAGACATAGTACTAGATGAGTAGGACATGGCTTCATGCACCTGCAGACAATACACAAGGACAAGATACTGAGTGGCAAATTCTCAGGATGGCAAAGTAGAGGCAAGTGTCAGATCAGAGGCCCAGTTAGTCTAGAAGGAGATAGCATAAGAAAAGTCAGGCAACAGGTGCAAGTGCAGGGCTCATATTGGGGAGAAGCTCGTCAGGTCTGCCACTTATGAAGGGTCCTGGGACCCGACTAAAGGACAACCATGCTCATAGTGGCATGGGCAAGGTTGTCTCCTGCAAATGAGAAGGGACCTTTGGAACTTATATTCAATCTCAGAAAGAGAAAAGGCGGGGGGGGGGGGCGGGGGGGGGGGGRGGRGGAAGGGGGGGGGGATGGGGGGGGGGGGAGAAGAAAGAGAAGGAGGAGGGGAGGAAGGGGGAGGATGAGGGAGGAGAAGGAGGACCATGCCTTTCAAAGTGTGGCAATCACCACGAAGGGAACCAGCAGGAGGTAGGCTATGCCTCAGAACATTGCTTTCTTAGCAATGGGGTCTCAAGATATGGCAGTTGAAGTACTTTTGTGTGTTTGCAGCCCCTCTCACTGCTCATCCTGGACACTCTAAGTGCACCTGGCAAAATTAAAGCACAAAAGGAAGGAAACATGCTTCCTTCCATGGGCTTCCTAAAGCAAGCATGTCAGAACTAGGGAGAGGGTAGGAGTAGGTTGGAGAGAAATGGAGGGGGAAAAGGGAACCATGTGGTTCCTGAGGCCACCGGTGTGGAATGCATGCAATATCAGGCTCCTCCCTAAAACACTAGTGCAGTTTTGCTCGCTTCTCTAAAGTGTCCAGCCCCTGGGCAAGTTCTAGAGGCTCTTATGTACCGAGATGTTTGCACCCAAGTCTGCAATGAAGTCCTTCAAGTCATGTGACCACAAGTCAAGTAACATGGGTCCACAGCTAAGCACAGTGTTTTATGGAATGGCATAGGGAATTGTTTTGGATCCACTCCTCTTGCTGGGCCACTCTGTTGAGGGGCGCAAGATTCTCAAGTGTGCACACACATACTAGGGGGTGATTCTGCCTATGAGAACACCACATGTGACAGGCCAAGGGGCACACTCTCCAGAGAGCTTGATGGCCTCACTCACCCAGTGTGGGAGATAGCAGATACCCTCATCAGCCACGAATTCCAGCACTCCGCAGTGTGTCATGCGATCCGAATTCTTATTGGTCAGTTTGAACAGCATGGGATAGGTAATATTAAGTCGGCCTAAGAAGAAAGATATTAACAAGCATGGATGAGATAGATAACTCAAGGAATGGCTTCTTTGAAGGCAAAAATACCCTGCTCACCCAACAGTCTCCCCTTGGAAGGAGCCTCTCTGCTACCTACGGTAGCTTTCTTCCCCAAATTTCAACACCCTCAACCCAAGAAACCTCCTACTGAGTGAGGCAAGGACATATACAGTGCATGGCCCAGAAGAGGAGCTCAGAAATGTCTGGTGACTTAGTCATGCAGCATCAGCACAGACCTGTGATATTCTGAAATCACCATTTTAAAAAGTGTTTGTCAATAATGTATCAACCATGTGTCAGAGAAAAAGCCCCACCTTCAAAGGTTACTAGTTAGAAAGGTAAGAAAGAACACAAACATGCATAACCTGAGGCTTCAGGTGCTATGGGAAGAGAAGGGAGGGAAGGGACAGGGTCAGGGGGACAGACCAGCCACAGGGCAGGCAAGTCAGGGATAGAATCCAAAGAGAAGAAGTAGCTCAAACAAACATATGGAGGTGAAGAAACCAAGTAGTTCAGAGACAAACTGTCAATTAGGCAAGTTGAGCCAGGACAAATATAGGAGTAATCAGGAACAGAAAGGGAAACTGGTATGAGACACCACATGGCAGAACTTTGTGTCTGGGACCAATGGGCTCAGCCAAATCACAATATACTACATCTACTCATTCCAGTGATCCATGAGGTAAGAGTTGCATGGAGGGCAAGAGCTGGCAAATAATACTGCACACAGGGCTGGGATTGTGGCTCAGTGGTAGAGCACTCGCCTAGCACGGGCAGGACCCGGGTTCAATCCTCAGCACAACATAAAAATAAAAAAATGCATTTTGTTGTGTCCATCTACACCAAAAAATAATAATAATAATAAATATACTGCTCACATGCTGACTCAGGAAGTAAAAAGGGCAGAGAAAGGTGGGGCTGGCCAGGTGAGGAAGGAAAACCTAGGAAACCAGGGCCCTGGGAGAAGGGATCTCAGAATGTACTGGTGATGTTTGCTCTGTCCCAGGATCTTGTTCAATCTTCCCAGAATTTCCAGGAAGGTACTATCATTATCCCCTTTTTGTTACTGGGGAAACCAAGGCACATAAGTAAAGTAACATGCCCCCAATTACATAGTTCAAGAGTGGCAATGCTGGGATCCAAACGCAGTCTACTTGCTTAAATCTGGGGACTCAACCACTGAGGCAGACTTCAGCTTGTCAGACTAGGCAAACATATCAATAGCAGTCCATTTAACATCAGGAGGTAAAGCAGATTCCTTCTGGTCTCTCTCTAAAACTCCAATTAAAACAAATTGAAGAGCTTGGGCAGGAAGTTCCAGAGAAGCTCAGAAAGAAACACCTCACTATGGAGGTACAGTGGGAATGGGTGGCCCCACTATCACATGAGTAACTGATGTTGGCAGCACAAGGTCCAAGGGCCCAAACACCAGGCCTTCCATCCTCAGGGCACCTCACAGCTGTTAGAAGCTGGCCTATAGTTGGTCTGGGATGACCTGGATCAGGCTCCAGCCAAGGATCTGAGACTGCTATAGCTGGAAGAGATACCAATGTTCTCCAGTCCACTCACTGATGACCAAACTACAATCTATGATTTAGAGAAGTACCCTGATGTTCCCAACTCTTTACAAACCCTCACCTCTTCCAGAGTAGTGATCTTGTATTTTGTAAATCAGGACTCCTCCCTGAACAATCTTACTCAGGCACAAAAGGGTTTCTTCCATCACTTAGGAGGTCAAAACAACACTGATTTGATCCACTGACCCAGTCCCTAATTCTTCTGGACACCTGTGCTAAGGGTCACACCAGGTATCTGGATTCTGGGTCAGCTTGTCTGGAAACCAAGGCCTCTCTGGGGGCTTATTCCCTCTCTGTAATGACAAGTGTGCAAACAGTACTGTAACTGTGAACACACTGGCTCTATCTACCTGCTGCATGGACACGGGCCTCCACAGTGTATAGCTATAACTAGAGTTGGCTCAAGGGTCACTAACCCTAGGGGCTGGGATGAAATGGACTGGGTTGGGCATACATAAAGCACAACACCTCCAATGTACAAGTGCTGTAGATGTCCCTGGTTAAGGAAAAGGACACCAAGGGCCAGAGAAGCCAAGTCACAATGTCAGGCTGGGCAAGGTGTAAAGATTGAGCGGACCCAGTACCTTTCTCTGCAATCTACCACTGAGTTCCTATGACTAGCCTCCAGTCTCCTGACTCCCACAGGAGAAATTCAAAGTGAAAACACCAAGTCTTGAAATTCAACCGTGTCTGTGATCAGGGCTCTCCATGATCAGGATATTCTGCATCTGGGGCTGTGGTATCTGGGCTGTTCTCTTGAGATAAAAGGTTGGGGGGAAAAGGAAGAGTATGGCCATTCTCACAACTTATGAATCTTATCCACACTTCTACTAAGAAGCAGAAGACAAGCAAAGAGCAGAAGATAATAAATAGCTCGATCTCTGACATGCTCATAATGCAATGACACACTGAGATGAGAAACATGCACTAATCTCTTGAGAAACAAAGATTTCTTCTGGCTTGAGAAGCTATGCACTACCCTCTTGAGAAGCAAAGATTTCTTCTTTTAAAAGAAAAACAACTGAGTACAATCAATGGCATGAGCTACCTTGGCACTGTACAAAGCACTTTACCCTTCCTTTATTTACTCATTTATTACAGCGTTGAAGATCAAGCTCAGGTCTCTGAGCATGCTACTAAGTGCTTTAACACCAAGCCATACCCCAGTCCTTCATCCTTTATTTAATCCTGACAGAGTCCTGAGACAAGTTGATAGAGGGTGGGTAGGATCAGGGAAGAGAACCCCCTTCACAGAGGAAGGACCTAAAGTTCCCAGGGCCGTGGAGAAGCTGAGTATTCACTGCATAGTTGCCGCCGCCACCACACATAACTTTGTCCCAAACACTTGTGGCCCTGGTTTCCCCAGATCAGTATATGCTCCCCAGTAATGATTCCTAACTAGATGTTGTAATGGTCATCAGCATTTGGATGCACTAAAGAGCCTAGACTGATTTCTGTCATTCGTATTTATATTACTTAAGTTTTTGAGTAACTTAGAAAATACTTACTGAGTTGATCGAGGGCTGAGGGTGGCATAATTACTGTGGAAAAAATATTTAAAAACATTGAGAAAATAAAAATAAAAAGAATAGACAAAAGGCAAGATGCGATTCTTATTATATTTTTTATAAGTTTTAAACAGTATTTTAAGGTAGCTAAAATTTCACAATGATCTTTCAAAAAAATCTTAATGTAATTTTACTTGGGAGGAATAAAAGGCTCCTGGACATTAATCTAATCATAATTAGCACCCTACTCCTATCACCCACACCCACTTAGCAAATCTGAGACAAGCCACACTTTAACTTTAGATTCTGGTGCCCACATGCAAAGTTAAGGGTTGGGGAAGGCTATAAGCTTCGCAGACATAGGGCAAGAAAGGTTACTATTCAAAATAAAAACAAGCACATACTCTTCCCTCCTTTCTCCACATCTGACCTGTCATTAGGCCCGGCTAGCATGGACACGGAGAAGCAGCGGTACTGTGTGGAGAAGCGGTTCTGGAAGACCCGGGGAATCGGGTGGTCGAACATGTTGAAAGAGAACTAAAAGAGAGAGAGAGATGTTGGTATTAGAACAGAGACATTAGAACAAAAGGTTCTTTTCTTTCCTGGGACAGAGGTCTCACTGTGTTGCTCAGGCTGGTCTCAAACTCCTGGGCTTAAAAAATCCTTTGCCTCGGTATTCTGAGTAGCGGCAACTACAGGCACACACACTCGCTCCAGCTTAAAGGAATGTTACAACAAAAATCATCTTTTGTATATATGTATATGTCTGTGTGTGTACTGAGGATTGAACCCAAGGTCTTGCTAATGGTAGGCAAGTGCTCTAGCATCAACCACCATTTTATTTCTTTTTAAAATCTATTTTGAGACAGGGTCTCACTAAATTGCTCAGGCTGGCCTTGAACTTGTGGTCTTCCTATTTCAGCCTCATCTGTTGTTGGGATTACAGGCCTGCTCTACTGTGCCCAGCACATTGTGGTGTTTAACACTAATAAACATGGCTGAGGAAATGAAGAACACAATGTGTTCTTGTGTTCTTACTTGATTACCCAGAATATTCTGATTTCCTGAGCAGCAAAATGAACAAATTCTTTCTGCTTCACCCAGTCTCACTCTCAGATCTAGCTTTCACCATTTTTGGGTAGTGTAATCTTACTAAAATATGAAACAGGCCATCCCAAGAATGTCCGTAACATTTTTCAGAGATGCTCCCCCAGCCCCCTGACTATCAGTAGAATCAAGGCTGAACCTCCTGTACATCTCACAGACACTTGTTACTGACAGACCCAGTCTCTTAACCTATCATGTTCCTTCCTGGCAATTTCTTCCACCTAGAACTTTTTCTCTATTATTATTAATTTAAAAGTAATTTATTAATTGAAAAACATCTCTTACTAAGTAATGTGTGTCTGGTTCTGATTTAGGCATTACGGAAATACCACTATAGTGATGGTAACCTACAAAACAGATCTGCCTTGGTGGACCTGATGCTAAAGACAAAAGAGACATGCAAAAGAAAACATGTGTGTCAGATAGCTTGAATACAAAAAGAAGGATAAGGGGACAAAGAACTCCTAGGCATGGGGTTTTAAACAGGTAGTCAGGAAAGACCTCCCTTCAGAGAGTCCAACATGCCATGAGAAGGAACAAGGCAGGAAACAGGGAAGGCATCCAGGCAGCAAGAAGGTCAGGTTCAAGTTATTTGTACTCCTTCCCCTGGCTTCCAATTACCATCCATTCCTTTCTCCAGGAAGCCTCCTTTCCTCTGCCAGTCAAGGGATAAGTACCCCTCCAGTGTGCTCTCATTAGCAGAGTAGGTACACATTGTAGTGCTATACCATTGTGCTTTCTTATATCAACAAGCAGGCCACCCCCGGGGGTGGAGGCCGGTGGTCCCTCTGGGTGTGCAGTGGGGCTGTGCACCTGCCCCCCACCACCACCCCCCCCCGGCCCCTCATCAACAAGCAAAATGAAGACATGGTGACAACAGAAAGTAAGATCCAAAGACAAAGTTTAGCAACATCAATTTGGGATCTTCTCAAAGTATTGCAATTATTATGATTTTAAGAAGAGAATGTAGGGCTGGGATTGTGGCTCAGTGGTAGAGCACTTGCCTTGCATGTATGAGGCAATGGGTTTAATCCTCACCACCACATAAAAAAATAAATAAACAAAAAAAGTTACTAGGTTCATCTACAACTAAAAATGTGGTGGTGGTGGTGGTGGAGGAGGAGGAGAAGGAGGAGGAGTGTAAAATCTCCTAATAGGGCAGATATCCAAAAGAAATCAAAGTGATGGGGCTGGGCGTGTGGCTCAAGCGGGTGCATGCTCGCCTGGCAAGCACAGGGTGCTAGGTTCGATCCTCAACACCACATAAAAATAAAATAAAGATATTGTGTCCACCTAAAACTAAAAAAATAAATATTTAAAAAAAAAGAAATCAAAGTGAGATCTTAGCCAAAAGGTGGAAGCAACCTAGATGCCAACTAACAGATAAATAAACAAAATGTGGTATACACATATAATGAATGTTATTCAGCCTTAAAAAAAAAAAAAAAAAAACTGGCACATGCTACAACACAGATGAACCTTGAGGGCATTATGTCCTCAAGTAAAATAAATCATAAAAGAACTTACACCAAATGATTCCACTTACATGAGGTACCTACAACAATCAAAGTCAAAGACAAAAAATGGAATTGTGATTGCCAGGGACTGTAAGGAGAGGAAAATGAAGCATTATCATTTAACTGGAGAGTTTCACTTTCACAGGGTAAAAATTGTTTGGGGTAGGGTACAGTGGTACACTCCAGTAATCAGAGCTACTTGGAGCCTGAGGCAAGAAGATCACAAGTTCCAGTCCAGCCTAGGCAACTTAGCAAGACCCTGACTCAAAAAATAAACAGACAAAATTAAAAGTTATAATGGAAAAAATCTGATTAGAGCCAGAGGAGTGAGGAGCTCCTTAAATCATCTCTCACTTTGGCTACCACATCTAAATCATTTCTTCCCTTTGCAACCTAAAAGGGGAAACCATGCAAATGATACCTGACTTTAATAACCTGCCTCCAATTTATTCCCCCACAAAGCTGACTTTCTGCTCCTCCTGCTGCTTCTGACTCCAAAGTTTACTTTCCTTTATAATATAATTCTGATGCACAGCACATTGCTTGGCACATATCAGGTATTCAATGTCTGTTACATGGAGGAACTTGAAAACAAAAATATAATTTCACAGTAAAACATTTGGGAGAAAATCTAATAACCATTCCTTGCTTTTAAGAAAATAAGCAACTGCTAGGCAACGCTATCTATATACAAAGGTTATGAGCCAGTTTTTCAGCCAGATGGACTTGGTTTCAAATCTCCACTCCTCACTTACGTGACCTTGAGTAAACCATCTCTGTAAACTTCAGTTTTCACCGGGTTAAAATGATACCATTTTTGCCTCCAGGGGGGATTGTATACAATAAAAGGGATAAAATGTGATGAAAGAATAAGGACATTAAAGAAAAACCGTGTAACAGAAAAAGAGCCCAAAAAACATTTCCTACTATCGTTCGTTATTATCACCGAACACAACACGACTGTGTATATACGAGGGCGTGAAGCACAGGCTTAGAGCTCACCCTCCAAGGGCAAAAAGCTGTAGGTTCCCGTCTAGGGGGATGCTCCCTAGAGATTCTCCGTGGGGAGCGCCCGCTTCTGCCTCCACCCCAATAACATTCCCAATTAACTCGGAGTTAATGGAAACCTGTTGCACGACGAGCATTTGCGAGACCCCACGAGTGGACACAACGATAGAATTTAACTTTCTACCTTCAAGGACCTCAAGTCTGAGAGGGAACGCAAATCATGCCCCAGGCAAGCGCAGATGAACAGGGGCACTCGTAGTTAAGGGTCCAGCTCGTTCCAGAAGTGTCCGGGACTGGCAGACCCGCCGGCCTCAGGCCCGGGTGACTCGGCATCTCCGCCATCGTTCTGTCCATCTCTGCTGGGCCCTGATTTGAGCCCTGTCCTCAGTACAGCTCCCTGACACCTACCCAGCCTCGCTTACCATGATGTAAACCCTTCGTAGACGCCGCTTTTCTCAGAAAAACGTTAGAACCAGAGGACTCAGAAAACTCTTCTTTATAGAAGCCGCCGCCGCCGCCGCCTTACTGAAACCCAGACACCCCAGGAGGCTCACCGGAAGTGCCTGTCCGGAGGACCTGGAGTGGGTGTCGAGCCCGGGCGTCGGTTGCAAAAACGAAAAACCAGGCGAAGGATACAGGACGTAAAAATTACACAGCATATATAAGAAAATACCCCTTAATAACTTATTACCTCATATAAAGGCGACTTTAGAGTTATTTAAAATTATGTTTTGATAGTACTCCCCTACAAACGAATTTGGTAGGGCCCATTCTGCTTGCTGACTACGCTACCCAGAATGCATCTAGAACGATCGGGCCTTTGTTTCAGCCATCGTGGAATCGGGCGGAAGTAAGCTACACCACCTTCAAACTGGACCAGGAGTCCATTGAAAACCTAACTGCCTTCTCAATTGGTATATAACTTAATTTAATTTATGGATTGAAGTATATTTTCCTGAGGTTCCCAGCGTGAGGCGGTAGGCTTCTCTTCCCAAAGCAAAGATGTCCGCCAAACGTGGGGGTTTCTGGGTAAATGGGAGTCTTGAGTTGAAGCGGGCAATCCTGTTTACGTCCTACCTCAGAAAAGAGGCTTCTTCCCCGGCTGGTAGGCGGGGATGGGGTACTTTTCCAGCCTTGAATGGCGGAGGGCGATTGCCGATCCCCAAAATGGCCCAATCATAAAAGAGGAAAGGCGAGGGAACAAACAACCTATTGGTTGGTTACCTGGGCCAATCGGAAGGGCTGTGATTTGGCGGGAGTCTTGACCGCCTCCGGGGCTCTTGGTGTCTCAGCCCCAGCCGTGGGTGTTGGGCCGCCGCGGCTATGTTCGTGTCCGATTTCCGCAAGGAGTTTTACGAGCTTGTTCAGAGCCAGGTGACTCCCAGTCCAGGACCCTCGCTAAGGCCTTGGGTGGGGAAGAAGGAGTGAGGACGTGAGGCCATGGGTGGGCCAGGCCAAGAGGGCTGGGAGTAGCCGGGGTTCGAGTTACCGTACTCAATCCACCCGCTCTTGTCCAAACAGAGGGTCCTTCTCTTCGTGGCCTCGGACGTGGACGCTCTGTGCGCCTGCAAGATACTTCAGGTGAGCTTTGCGGACCAAAGGAGGGCGAGCGAGGCTAGAGGTGAGGGACTGCTGGGCAGGAGCAGAAGATGAGGAGTAAGGCAGGCCTAGGATGGGAAGGAGCAGGGCGGGAGGTGAGGAGCAGGTGAGAGAAGGGCGAGTAAGAGGTCACCTCCTTGTATGGGCAGTCTTGGAGGTCAGAGAAAGATTACATAAAAATACTAATTAGTATCTTTTTGTAACAACCCAGGCGGAAAAAAAAGAAAGAAAGATTTAATTTGGGAGACCTTCGAAACTGTAGTGGCCTGTCAAATGTGGGGTTTGAGAGAGAGATGAATCGGTGACAACAGAGAGTATAATGTTGTCATAATCAGTATTAGAAACACAGGAGTCCATAGTCTATTAGGGAAGATTATTAATTAGATTTTTGATATGGTTCACTTTTTCTGCCTTTATTATTTTATTCTTTTGGGATATACATAAGAGTGCATTTTGATGCATTATAGATATATAGAGTATAACTTATTCTAATTAGGTTCTCATTCTTGTGGTTGTACATGATGTGGAGTTAAACTGGTCATGTATGAACATGTATGAACATAGGAAAGTTATGTCCAATTCTACTGTCTTTTCTCTTCCCATCTCCTCTCCTTTCCCTTCAATCCACTTTGTCTAATCCAATGAACTTCTGTTCTTCCCTTCCCCTCCTTATTGTGTATTAGCATCTGCATAGAGAAAACATTTGGCCTTTGGTTTTTGAGGATTGGCGTATTTCTTTTTTTTTTTTTTTTAATATTTATTTTTTAGTTCTTGGCGGACACAACATCCTTGTTGGTATGTGGTGCTGAGGATCGAACCCGGGCCGAACGCATGCCAGGCGAGCGTGCTACCGCTTGAGCCACATCCCCAGCCCCAGGATTGGCGTATTTCACTTAGCATGATAGTCTCCATTCCATCCATTTATCAGCAAATGCCATAATTTCATTCTTCTTTATGGCTGAGTAGTATTCCATTGTGTACATGTACTACATTTTCTTTATCCATTCATCTGTTAAAGGGCACCCACTTTGGTTTCATAGCTTAGTTATTGTGAATTGAGCTGCTATAAACTTTGATGTGTTCCTTTCACTATAGTATGCTGATTTTAAGTCCTTTGAGTATAACTGGGTCAAATGGTGGTTTCATTCCAGGTTTTCTGGGGAATCTCCATATGGCTTTCCAGAGTGGTCACAATATATGGTACACTTTTTACATTGAGCCTGGATCAGGAATTTTTCAGAATACCTTGGAAGTAAGATCAGATTTTCTCACCATGTTTTTTTTTTTTTTTTTTGGTAATTTGACAAATTCAGCAAAATGACAGATCTATACATTTAACAGTCACATCCCTACCACCTGGCTTCTTTCCTTAGTGTTTTACCAATATTAGCTTATCCTATATTTTTTGTGTCTCAACCCAGCTAGTTTTTTTCTAGGGCATTTCAAGGTAAATTCTGTACATCCTAAATAAGATAATCTTTGAAAAAACTCTCTCTCAGGCCCTGTTTCAGTGTGACCACGTGCAGTATACATTGGTTCCAGTCTCTGGGTGGCAAGAACTTGAAACTGCATTTCTTGAACATAAGGAACAGGTATGAAAGATATGTTTTAGAATAAATAAGTTTTTTTTTACTCAGTTCCAATTCCTAATACTTAGCTGTCTTTCTAATTTCACAGTACGTTTTTATTTAAGTATCAACTTTAATAGGCAATGTGGAAGAGAAAAGCATGCTATGTATACTGGTGATTTACTCTCAAGTTGTAAAGACAGAATTAACCAAAAAAGATAGTGAACATGGACAGCATATAACTTTGAACTTATTTTGCAGAAATCTGACTCTTCTTAAGAGTCACCTTTGTTTGGAATTTAGCAGTTTAGCCTCACTAAAATTATTATTTTGGTAGTGGCAATTGAACCCAGAGATGATTTATCCACTGAGCCACATCCCCAGCCTTTTTTACTTATCAGTGTTTAGTTTTTGGTTTTGTTTTTTAACATGGTGCTGAGGATCCAATTCAGAGCCTCACATGTGCTAGGCAAGCACTCTACCACTGAGCCACAACCCCAGTCTTAGCTACAGCCCTTTTTAATTATTATCTTGAGATTGAGTCTTGTTAAGTTGTTTATAGTCTTGCTAAATTGCTGAGGCTGACCTTGAATTTGTAATCCTCCTGCCTCAGCCTTCCAAGTCACTGGGATTACAGTCATGTGCCACCATGCCTGGCTAAAATTATTTTAGAATACACAACTGTCATATATTATCTCTCTAAGAAAATGCATTCCAGTTTCTAATTTTAAATCTAGGATATGTTCTCCCTTAGGATTTTCAGCATAGAAACTAGGCTGACTCTTACCTCTGCATGGGGCAAAGATGGGACATTGTGGGGCCCATAGGGAGGGCATGGAAGAGTGTACATGGAGTCCCTGGATAATGCTAAGACTTGTTGTGGCAGGGATAAATAATCTCTTTGAGTTTCAGTCATAAGAGACTGTACCAGTGGGTATCCAGAAGGAAAAGTTTTGCTATAGTTATACAGCACAACTTAATACTTACATGCCCTGAAAATTATGTGCTACCTGAGATTTGCCAAAAACTTAAACCCATGCAACTCTCTTAATACAGAGAGTTGGTGCAATACCATACAATAAGATCTGGAGAAACCACATTACACATTTTGTCTTAGATTCCCCTCATTAGCTTCTTTTTTTGCAATATTGGGGATTGAACTTAGGGCCTCCTACATGCTACACAAGCACTCTACCACTGAGCTTCATCCCCAGCCCTTTTTAAATTTTATTTTGAGTTAGGGTCTGGCTAAGTTGTCCTGGCTGGCCTCTAACTCGAGATTCTCCTAACTTAGCCTTCCACATAACTGGGATTACAGGGATGTGCCACCATGCCCAGATTCTTATTAACTTCTTGACCATGTGCCTGAGACTTGGGTTTGCTGAGCCTCAGTGTGTTTCTAAGAAAGTGGGACTTGCCCCAAAGCTTACTTCACAGTATTATTTTAGAAAAGAAGAACCTATTGTGTATGTTAAAGCACTTGGCATAAGCCAGCCTTGGCCATTTCTCAAGCCCTTTGCCATTCCCTCTGGACATTGCCACATATCAGGGATTTAATGTATCTCAGCAAAAGGATCTAGAGTCCTAGTGTGGTAAAGTGAAGTTACTTTATAATGTCTCACTTCTTTTTTCAGTTTCATTATTTTATTCTCATAAACTGTGGAGCTAATGTAGACCTATTGGACATTCTTCAACCTGATGAAGATACTATATTCTTTGTGTGTGATACCCACAGGCCAGTCAACATTGTGAATGTGTATAATGACACCCAGGTATGCAAGTCTTTGGGCCTCCCTTCTGTTATGCTCTCCCCTCAACCTGTCTATACCTTTTAATGCCATATACAGTGTTTTACCTGGTCTTCTTGGCAAGTGTGTGTCCAACTCCCCTATGGGAGTATAAAAACCTGGTCATGTCCATCTTTGATGAGAAACATGGCACCTAGTTCTTGTGTACATGCTAAATGAATTGGTGGAGTTTGTGAAATGTATTTGACCTGGGAGGGACCAGAACTTTGTAGACTTAAAAGTACAGTTTCTACTGTGCTTATCCTTTGAATCCCTGAGCTTTAAGCATACAACCTGGCTCAGGGCAGCCACCTACTTCCTTTGACTTGATCTTTCACCCACAAGGTGTCAGACCCCACAATTCTCATAGGAGAAATCTCTCCATAATAAATCAATCTGGAATTGCTTTTAGAGACAATAGATGTATTCACTTAGGGCTAGTCCATTTTGTGTTGCTATAAGAAAATACTTGAGGCTGAGTTCCTTTAAAAAGGTTATTTAGCTTACAATTTTGGAAATTCAAGAGCATAGCACCACATTTGCTTAGTTCTGTGAATTGCCTCATGGTGAATTGCATCCTAATAGTGGGAATGTGAAAGAGAGACAGAGATCAA